GTCGCTGCATGCAGCGGGAACAGCAGCAGCAAGGCTGCTGCTGTTCCTGCCAGCCTTGCTGCTGCGCCACAACTTGCTGCTGCCAGCACTTTTCCAATCTCTCCCACTTGTGGGGTGGCTGGCTTCCCCAGAGGGCCCCTTGGGGCCCCTGGGGGCCCCCCTGGGGGGCCCCCTGGAGGGCCTCTGGGGCCCCAGCAAAAGGAGGCCCCCCGAAGCTGCTGTTGAGCTGCTGACGCTGCTGCAGCTTTGCTGCTGCTTCCTTTTTCTCCTCTTCATGGGCGCTGTGGTGTACATACACTTCAGGCGCGACGACTGCATAGACGTGCCGCTGCTGCACAAGCAGCTGCAACAGCAGCAGCAGCAGCAGCTGAGGCAGCAGCAGCAGCTGCTTGTGGGGCTGCAGCAGCAGCAGGGGCAAATGCACTACGAAATGCAGGGACGGCAGCCACAGCAGCAGTAGCAGCAGCAGTACCGCCAGCCGCTGGAGCAGCAGCTGCAGCAGCCGCCACAGCAGCAGCAGATGCAGGAGCAGCAAATGCCGGAGCGGCCGCAGCAGCTGCTGCAGCAGCGGAAGATCAGCGGGGAGCAGGGCTGAGTTGCTGCAGCTGCAGAGACACTTCTCAAGGTATAGCCCCCGCAGCTCCTGCAGCATCTAATTTGTAGAAACGCAGTGCTGCTTGTGCTGCTGCTGCTTCTGCTGCTCCTGCTCCTGTTTGGCAGCAGCGGCAGGCAGGGTGCGGGGAGGAAAGATCGACTGTCAGCAGCTAAGTAGAGCTAGCTGCAGCGGCTAGCTGCCCTGGCTAGCTGCAGCAGCTAGCTGCGCTGGCTAGCCGCAGCAGCTAGCTGCCCTGGCTAGCTGCAGCAGCTAGCTGCAGCAGCTAGCTGCTGCTATGGCTCGCTGCAGCAGCTAGCTGCTGTGGCTAGCTGCGGCAGCTAGCTGCTGCCTCCCGTGTTGGTGCTGCGGGCGTTTTGTTTGTTTGCAAAAAGGAAAGGGAAAAAGGGTTTAGGGTTTGAGTGTATGTACAGGCTGTCCTCTAAAGAGGACAGCGAGAAAGACAATTTTCTCTTTGCCACTTTGTCTTTTTTCAGTTTTTTCAACTTTTGCTGTTGCATGCACTAGAACGCATGCAGCCCCAAGGCCCTAACCACTCGCCTCTTTCCCCTTCAAAGAAACTCAAAGAGAAATTTAAACTTCGCTAGGGAGGGGCCCCTCAGGGGCCCCCCCGTTGCTTCTTGGGGGCCCCCCACGGGCTCCAAGAAGCAACAAGGGAGCCCCCGAGAGGCCCCTAGGGGGCCCCAGGAGTACGTACAAGCTTCTTAACAAGTATTAAAAAAGGTCTTTTGGCATTTCTTTTCAATTATATAATTGTGTTTTGGAAGTGGTCTCTGGATTTGCTGCCTTTGCTGCGCGGAGGCGAGGAGGCCTTTAATAATTTACTGGAAAACTTAACAGACTTTAAATGGAGTTTAAAAATGCATGCAAAGGCCTCAGCGGGACAGCGCATGCAGTTTGGGGCTGGCAGGGTCTGCATGCACAGTGGGGAAATATGCTTTTTAAGGACAAGAGCTTTTGGCTTTCAAACAGAAAACATTTTCGGAAATATTCTTTTTAATGACAAGTGCTTTGCTTTTGCAAACAAAAGGCAGCAGACACAAAACTGAAAGTCCCAAAAAGCTGCAGCAAAAGGACTTGGTGGCTTTTCCGTGCTCCTTAGAATTGGTACAATTGACTATTCAGCGGAAAGCGCTGCACACATGTCACTTTTTGCGCGAAAAAACGTGCAATTAGACATGAATTTGTTCTTGTGAACCAAAAAGTCGAAATTAAGAATCTTAAAATGCAATCTAGCCTTCAGATTGGCAGCAAAGCTGGGCGGGCTGTTCCCCCCAGCCGCCGCAGTGCTGCTTGCTGCAGCAAAGAGCATGTAAGTGACCTCTAGAGGTCGCTTTTGCTGCTACTTCGCCTATATAGAGGTCATATTTGCTGCTGTTTGGCCTTTAGAGGCTGCCTTTGCTGCTGTTTGGCCTCCAGTGGCTGCATTTGCTGCTGTTTGGCCTCTAGTGGCTGCATTTGCTGCTGTTTGGCCTCTAGTGGCTGCATTTGCTGCTGCTGCTGGCTGTAGAGAGATCGCAGCTCAGTGTGGAGCCTTGAGGTCATGAATACTTTTCGTGAAAGTTACAAGTAGGGCCTGTTCGAAGGTCTTTCTTCCAAAACTTTGTTCTTTTATGACAACTCGGACTAAAGATAATCAACTTGCAGACTGCGACAGAGAAATAAGAAAAGAATTAGATAAGATTTTTGCGCAACTTGTGAACTAAAATGTATTTATGCTCTCTTAGAAGACCCATTGACTCTACAGCGAAAAAAGATTTCGCATATTCTTCTGCGCCTTGCAGGCAGTGCTCGGGATGTGTAGTTGGCCCCACAATTCAACGGTGAATAAGTATATATGAATTAATAATTAAAATAAATGTATCTTCAGGATTAAATTTTCCAGTTTTCAGGCTCGATGGCAGACAACTTTGCATTTCTTTTGCAGAAAGCTGCAATATCGTGGCGGCGGAAACCTCCACATGTATCTCAGCTATTCACAGTACTCCTCATTGTTTATTTATTTACTAAAGATAAAAATAAAAATTAATTTTTGAAATGAAATAAGATTTGAAGTCACTGAGGGAAACCCTTGACACTCACCCAAGACGCTCTTCTGCGTGTGCGATGAGCCCGTCTTCGAGATAGTAGTGCTCATCAGTTGAAAAAAAGTGTATTTGGAATATCAAATTTGAAAAATTAATCTAAAATACTACTCCTTTTAACAATTAGGGGGGTCATCTCGCAAAAAGGGCAAATCCTAGCCGATCTGGGTATGGCAGTCCGGTCTACATTTTCTGTCTTCTTTTATTTCAAATCCGCGCTAATTCTTTCCTCCGCTGGAATTTCTCCGGTCTCTATCAAACTAAAACTCTTTATGTTTTGTTTCATCAGTAAATGTCTCGAATTCGCTTTCAAAAGGTGTATTTAATGCCGTTTCCCCAACTTACGTTTAGCAGCGGAGTTTGTTTTGCACCTGCTGTAATCTTAAGGCTCCACACAGTTCTTCTGGTTGCAGCAAAAGCAGTGTTTGGAGATAATATTATTTGCATTCTTTTTTGTTATAAAGTGCATATCTGCATGCATTTGACTCTTTAAACTACGCAAAAGAAACTTGAGTCCAGTCCAAAGTCTTAGAACATGCATGTATGGATCGAAGTTGAAATATCGGGAAGTTTGAGTTCAAAAGGTGTGGGAAGCCACCTGCAAGCTCGTAACAAACAGATGAATCTTGAAGAATACAATTTCTGTAAAATATTTATACAATTTTGTTTTTAGGAAGTCAACAGTCTTCTGCAGCTCAAGAAATATCTTGCCAAGGCAATGACGCTTGTTGAATGCCGCAGCTCGGCAGAAAGCTAGAACTTTGCAGATCAGCCTTAGCCTTCAATCTAAGCCCTAAAATGGCTCCAGATCACTAATGGTGGGACTTTAACTTGAGAAATTGACATCATAGCCTTTAATTGTGAAGTCAACGCTTCTCAAAATCTTGGAAAAGTGAAAAAATGCCGAAATTGTCGTTCAAACGGCTTCTTACTGGTGAGCTGATGCAGCTCTGCACACCAGAACAGAGGATCTAGAGTTTGGGGAGCCCGCAGGCTATTTATCCATTTATTTCTCGTGTGATAGATCTTGGAAAGTGTGTTCAAGAAGTACTCAAGTATTCAAGTATGCAAGTATTCAAGTATTTTCTCCTGCCGAAGTTTAGAACTGCAGCAGCTGGTGTGCAGCTGCATCCAGGTGGGCTTTTATCAAGCTAAGTCCTCAGTCCATTATCAGCTTCCAGCGAAAAAGGCCGGAAGAACTCTAAACGGTATTATCAAATAATCCTTAATGAAGCAGCAGCGTGAGCAAACTTTGGCAGATTCGAGGCATCATCTGCATAATGTTTTCGGTGTCCGGCGCGTTCTTTTCCTCGACAAAATTCAACAAATGCCAAATGCAAGTTATTATTCAGCACCAAACACTTTGAGCTGCGTTCAAAGCATTCGCATTTTGAATTTTCTTTTCAAAACAGCTGCCTAACAAGAACTACCCAGCTTTTGGATTTCCTTGCGGGAAATCTAATTAGGTGGCCTGATGGGAATATTCCCAAGCCAGAAATAGATAAGAGGCTGCAAATTGAGCAGGAGAATCTGCAAAATGCCTTTGAGCTGCAGCACGGAAGTTCACTGACACCAACGCTGCGCTGGTGCTGCGGGGAATCTTCGTGCTGCTGGGTTTTGCTGCTGTGGAGCTGCTGCTTCCTTGAGCTAATAGATTAGACATTTTGCAGAGCTCCAGGCCTCTAAAATGTATGTTCCATCAGTAAAATGCAAATTAAAAGGGAAGATGGATTTCAGAGTCTAAATGAAGCCCGCAAAGCTGTCATTTAAGCCCGCTTTCTGAACTCGGCGAAATGCGCAACTCACGGCGCCGCAGTTTGCAATCAGTAGAAAGCACCTGGGACTTCTAGCTACCTCAGCTTTCCTAAAAGCGAAATATGAACCACAAAAAAAAATGCAGAATTACGGTATATATTTAGGCCCTGAGAGATACAGCAGAAGCCCACGGAAAGCCAGTTCAGGTTTCTTCGCAGAAGATCACACACAAGGTGACAGTGCTGCACTCTGTGCTCATTTGCCCCCAAAAATGAGAATTAATGAGTTGTTTTCATTGGGATTTGAGCTCAAAAAATCCAAAAGTGTATCCAAAAGACTCATATTGACGTGAGATCCGCAGTGGCTAGTGTTGTGGGCTGCAGCGACTGGTGACTTCCTCTTTCACACATCCCATAAACATCTTACTATTATGACGGAGTTCAAATATATATACTTTCCACAGCGTGTCTGCGGTGTACGTACACCTCAAGACTACTCAAAACCCGCACGGTAAACTCGGAAGTCTTTTCTGAGTCTTTCCAGGAGCTGCAGTCCCGCAGCACCAGGCAATTGGACTCTTTTGGGCCTCTCTGAGGGCACCAATAGGTCTAATAAATCTAAATTTTGCGGCAGGAAGCTTTAGTTTCGCCATGAGGCCGTTTAAATAGGCTTAAAGGCCTCGAGTGTCTTTGCTGCTGATGTAGAAGGTAGGCACACATGGCGCAGCCGGCTCCGGCTAAGAGTGACTTCAGCCCTTAATGCAAGCTGAGCTGCTTCACATTTCGAGAGTTTTGCTGCTGCGCATAGGCGCTGGCCAGCAGCAGCAGCAGCAGCAGCAGCAGCAGCTAGGCAGCAGCAGCAGCCGTAGACTGGGGGCCCCGTGGGGCTGCTGCGGAGACCAAAACCGATAAGCCCTGCTGCATCTTTGCAGTGACCAGCAGCAGCAGCTGAATGCGACAAATTGAATTTGAATTTAAACCATCTAAAGGAATAGGGAGGGAGGGAGAGACATGGTGTCGTCGTTGCTGGCAGCAGCAACGGCGCAACAGCAGCAGCAGCAGCAGCAGCAGGAACAAACAGCGACAGCAGCAGCACCCAGGCCCCAAAGACGGCTGCCGCCGCTGCTGCTGCAGTGCACTCGCTATCACTGTGTGCGTCCCTAGCGTTTCCCGCGCAGCAAGGGCGACAGCACTAGCAGCAGCAGCAGCAGCCGCTGCTGCATGACGGCATCACGAGCAGCAGCAGCAGCAGAGCCTTCGACACAATGCTGGCACCTGTTGCTGCTGCTGCTGCAGCTTCCTTGGGGGGCCCACTCGGCGCAGCAGCAGCAGCAGATCGCCAGGGGGGGGGCTACTACTTTGCAACTTCTCTCCCCCCCACAGTTGTTACTTGCTGCTGCAGCGTGCGGCTGAGATCCCCGTACACCCCAACTCTTGTCTTGGCCAGGCCCCGCTCTTTGGTTTTTTTGCACCCCAACTCCAAGAGCAGGCGCCGCCGACGCAGCAGCAGCAGCAGCAGCAGCAAGGATCGGGGGTACAGCAGCCCGAGCGCCGGCGCCGACGCCTCCTGCTCTTCCCCCCCCGGATCCGCCCTCACAGCAGCAGCAGCAGCAGCAGGAGAAGCAGCAGCAGCAGCAGATGAGGGGGAGGAAGCTGGATCCCCCTACTTCAGTCCTCCCGTGACGCTGCCGTGTCGTTCTGCTGTTGCTGCTCTTGCTGCAGTGCCGCGGGCGCCCCCCTGCGGCGCTGCTGCTGCTGTCTGTACACCTGAAGAAGACAAAGATGAAGACAAACACAAGGAAGGACTTGAAGATCTTTTAGTTTTGACAGACTGCCAAACCCTCATGCTTCTTACCTACGACAGGAAGCAGCGCAAAGTCATTCCCATCGAGCTTTTCGACCTGCGGGTACCCAGCACAACTGCTGCTGCTGCTTCTGTTGCTGCTGCTGCTGTAGGACCTGAGTTGCCGCTGTTGCTGCTGTTCGTTGTGCGCGTTGCTTCCGTGCGTGTGCCGCTAGGACATGTTTTAGTGATTTCGTTCGGCAGCTGCTGCAGCATCTGCAGCATTGTGATGTTCTGCTGCTGCTGCTGCTGCTGCGACTGCTGCTGCAGCTCCCTTGCTTCCGGAGAATCAAGGGGAGGCCCTTGTTGGCCGTTTGTCCCCTCACAGGAGACATTGCAATTCACCAGTACGAGTTCAGGCTGCAGTACCTGCAGCGCCGCCGAGTCAGCAGCAGCATCAGCAACAGCAGCAGCAGCAGTAGCAGCAGCAGCAGTAGCAGCAGGGAGCCAGACTGCAGCAGGGCGAAGCGAGTGAAGGAACAGGGACAGTCCCCGCAGTGGCAGCAGGCGAAGCAGGAAGGCTCGTCGTCTCAGCAGCAGCAGCAGCAGCAGCAGCAGGCAGCAGCAGAGAGTGCAGCAGCTCTTCCCCTGTACAACCCGCTGCGGGTGGTGTTCGTGCACGAGTTGGGAATCCTGGACATAGCCTTCGTGGCTCCGAAGATGCGGCAGCAGCAGCTGAGCAGCAGCAGCAGCAGCCGGGAGGCGCTGTTTTCGGGCTGCGGGCGCGCAGCAGCAGCGGGAGAGGGCGTGTGGGGCAGCAGCAGCAGCGGGCAGTGCCAGCAGCTGGGGTGTCTGTACACCTGCAGCACCGTCAGCAGCATGAGCTGCTCCTCCCCCATTTGTCCTCCAGATCGTTATTTGCGGCTGCTGCACCTGCCGCAGGAAGATGTACCCTTTATAGACACAGACCCAATTAGCTGCTGCTGCGGGGCCCCCCCGGGGCCCCTCCCGCTGCCGGGGGGGGCCTCCCGGCTGCTGCCGCTGCCGCTCCCCATTGGTGGGGTTGTTGTGTTTTCCCCCAAAAGCATATCTTGGCTAGCTGCCCAGCCTCCCCACAGGGACAGAACTGCTGCCAAGAAGCACTTTGCTGCGGCGCCCTCTGGCAGCAGCAGCAGCAGCAGCAGCAGTAGCAGCAGCAGCAGCAGCAGCAGCTCCTTCGTCGGGATTGGCCCAGCGGCTGCTGCTTCCGCCAGAGGCCTCAGCCCAGTTTGCTCGCAAACTACTTTTCCTGGCTGCGACGATATTGTTGCTGCTGCGCTTCTCTCGGGGCCTGCAGCAACGCTTTCTCCAGCAGCAGCAGCAGAGCAGCAGCAGCAGCAGCAAACCTGCGTCTTCGTCGCCGTCGACGCCAGGGGAAACGCGCTGCAGGCCGTCCTGCGTGTTTCGCCCCCGTCCGTCTCAGACAGCAGCAGCAGCAGCAGCGGCAGCAGCAGCAGCAGCAGCATTGGCAGGTGGGACGACGTGTCTTTGTCTGTTTGCTTCCTGGGCCATGCATGCGAAACTTCTCAGCTGTCTCCTCTCGGGCCCCACACCTTCTTTGCTGCTTCCACCTGCAGCGACAGTTTGGTGCTGGACATTAGAGAGCCAGCAGCAGATGGTTTCTGCAGCAGCAGCAGCAGCTGCTGCAGCGGCTTAGGCCTGAGCCTGTCCTCTGACGAGGCAGGAGGCGTCGGCGCTGCTGCAGAGTGGCTGCAGCAGCCGCAGCCAGCAGAGCAGCAGCAGCAGCAGCAGCGGGGGCGTCTGCGAGTGCTGGAAGCCCTAAGTAATTTGGGGCCAATCGTAGATTGCTGCATAGCAGACTTTGAGGGCAAGGGACAAAGACAGGTGCAGCAGCAGTCTCCAGACCAGTGCTGCTGCTGCTGTTGCTTCTGCTGTTGCTGCTGCTGTTGCTGCTTCTGTTGCTGCTGCCGCTGTTGCGCTGCTGTTGCTGTTCGTGACTGCGGGGGTCGTTGCTGTTTGCGCTGCTGCTGGTGTTAGTGCTGTTTGTGCGCTGCTGCAGCTGTTTGCACTGGTGCTGCTGCTGTGTGTGCTGCTGCTGCTGCAGCTGGCGGTTTGCTGCGGCAACGGCAGCAGCGGGGCCGTGCGGTTTGTACGAGATGGCCTCTTTTTGCATTCTGCTGGTGCTGCTGCACTGCAGCAGCCCGTGGAAGGTCTTTGGTGTTTGCGGCTGCTGCGAGGCGGCTCGCTGCTGCTGCTTGCTGCCGTTTCCACGCCGTGTCGCACTTTGCTGCTGCAGTGGAGGGGCAAGCCAAGTGCGAAGCCCGACGCAAGTAACCTGCTGCTTCCGCCTTTGCTGCTGCTGTTGGGCTCATTGCTGCTGCTCTTGCTGCTGCTACTTTCTGCTGCTGCTATTACGGTTTTCTGTGGCGCTGTATCTATCACCGCTACCACCAGCGTTTCTGCTGCTGCTGCTGGACTCACTGTTGCTGCTGCCGGTTCTCAGTTTGTGGCTGTTGTGCTGCTGCACCTACCTGTGCCGGTTCTGCTATTTCTGCTGCTGTCGCTACCTGTGCTGCTGTTGCTGCTGCTGCTGCTGCACCTGCCTGCGTGCTGTGCAACTTCTTCGGCGTTTGTTGGTTAACCGCTGAAAAACACTGCACGTTAGATGCAGCTGCTGCGTTTCTTTCATCCGAATTCGTTGCTGCTGCTGCCTCTGCTGCTGCTGCTGCTGCAGGGGCTATTGTGGCTTCCCGCAGCTGGAAGGAGACTGAGGACGGTGGGGAGATTGAGGCGCTGGAGGGCCTGGGGGCTCTTGTCACTTCGCAGCCTTCACTTATTTGCTGCCTTTTCAAGCCAGAAGATGCAAACTCAGCAGCAGCAGCAGCAGCAGCAACAGACACGGAAACTGCAGAGGCAGGCCAACCCATGGAACAGGATGGAGAAGACTTCCCACGCGCGTCAGGGCGAGACTCTCCTTTAGTGGTTCTTCAGGTGCACATATAGCTGTTGTTGTTGTGGCTGCTGCTGCTTCTAGTGCTGCTACTACTGTTGCTGCTGCTGGCAGTCCCGGTGCAGCTTTGGCTGTGTGTAGGCACCGCTGCTGCGAATACCGGAGTGTCTGCTGCTCTTTTTGTCTTTTTGTTGAATTTGACACAAAATTGTTTATTTTTATGCCCCTTTTTGTCTTTTTTAACAGGTTTTGCACCGGGGGCTCTTGGCGCTAGATGGCTGCGAGGCTTCGCTGGCGCTGCAGGCTGCGGTGTCTGTACACCTCACGGCGGCGGCCGGGGGGGGCCCCTTGCTGCAGCTGCAGCCTTGTGGCCCCAGTGCCTTGTTTGCTGCTGCTGCTGAGGCTGCGGAGTCGCGCATCAGTGCTGCTTCCGTGGCTCCTGTGGCAGGCATCGGGCGGGGATCGGCTGCTGCTGCAGCGGGAGATGTTCTGCTGCTGACTGTTGACACTGCTGCTGCTGCTCTCTCCTTCAGAAGCAGCAGCCGCAGTTTCTGCTGTCTCCAGACCAGGGACTTGAATGATGAGGCCTCTGCTGCGCATGCAGCTCGGCTGGACATTCCTGACCCAACATCTGCAGCAGCAAGCGACGAGGCCGCTGCTGCTGCTGCACCTGCTGCTGCTTCCATTTCCGTTGCCCTTGCTGCTGTGGGGTTGTTTGGGGAGGGCACCGTCCGTCTGCTGTCGCTGCCCAACTTGGAACATCTCATGACCGTTGATGCATGCAAGGGTGCGCCCTGCTGCTGCTGCTGCTGCAGTTGCTGCTATCGGGGCAGTTTTCTGGGCTGTAAAGCAGCGGCAGCTGCTGCATGAGATATGCCAAGCTTTTCGGAACCGCGTTGCATGCAGCAAGAGTTTTGACATGAGTGCTGCTGCAGGTGTTGCTGCCTCCACCGGTGAGAGGCGCAGTTGTTGCTGCTGCTTACTGAAGTTGCTGCTGCTGTGCTGCTCCTTTGCTGCTGGCAGGCGAGATGGGCGCTTGGATCGTCTCCACGCTGGTCTGCTGCATGAGAGGCGTCGCTCTTTGCTTAGCTGGGCTTAGCAACGGCCGGGTGGTGCTGTTCCGTCTGGGCTTCGCGGCTGCGGAGCCAGCAGACAGCAGCAGCAGTAGCAGCAGCAGCAGCAGCAGCAGCAGCAGCAGCGGGAGTGCGCTTATGACGGGGCACTTCGTGGACACAGGGTCAGCTATCCGTCTGCGTCTGTCTTTGCTGTCGGGGCGAGTCTTTTCTGTGGGGGGTGGCCCTGTCCGCGTTGTGAGTCTTCCGCGGCTTCCATTTGCTGCTGCTGCTGCTGCTGCTAAGCGCAAGGAGGAGCGCCGCCGACGCAGCAACAGCAAGGGCGAAAGGTCGAAGCTGCGCGCAGTCTCCCCTCGGCAGCGACTAAGTGCAGAAATAGAGGCCCGCCATGATGTCTCTTGTGTCGTTTGCTGCTGCTCGAGCCCCACCATCATACACGTCTCTGCAGCAGGTGGGCCTCTAAGAAGTTGCAGCTGCTGCCGATGCTGCTGCTGCCGCTGCAGCTGCTGCACCTGCCGCTGCATGCGGCAGCTGCTGCCGCATCTGCTGCCACTGCTGCTGCACCTGCTGCTGCTGCTGGCTCACCCCATTGTGGTTGCTGTCTCTTTGCATATCATCAGGGAGCCTCACCTACAACCACGTTCCCTGCGTCTCGCTGCAGCACGTTGCTGACTTCAGCTGTGGGGCCACAGACCCCCAGCTGGGCCTGCTGTGGGTAGAAGGCGCTTCTGCTGTTTCCGCCGCAGCCGACAGCAGCAGCAGCAGTAGCAGCAGTAGCAGTGGGTGGTACCGTTCGCCGGTGGGCGGCCAGCAGCAGCAGCAGCAGCAGCAGCCACGGGCAGTGCTGCACGTGGGAGTGAGGGAACAGGCGCAGCGGCTGCACTCCCGCGTGCTGCCTGTGGGGCGCACTGTAGATGCGCTGTGTCCAATTGAGTCTGTCTCTGTGGTGGCTTTGGCCTGTCCTGCAGAAGTTGTGGTGAGTTGCTGCTGCAGCAGGGGCAGCAGCACTTCGGGTGGGGAGTTTCTTCCATTTGTAGGGCAGCAGCACTTCGGGTGGGGAGTTTCTTCCATTTGTTTCACTTTTAGGTTTCTTTTCTTTTGTGTCCTCTCGAATTCTTCGATTTCGGGGAGTTTTTGGAAGTTCAGAAAGTTGGAATTGTGATTTTGCTGCTGCTTCTTGCTCCCCTTGCGGCTTCCTCTTATGCTGTTTTCTCCCCCTTCTTGCTGGCTTCTGACGCCGCGTTGCTGCTGCGCGCCTCCCGCGCTGCAGCAGCAGCAGCAGCAGCAGCAGCAGCTAAACGGCGGTCTCTAAGTCTTTGTGCCTTTTGCCCAGGATGGCCGGGAAGAGCCCAGCTGCGTCTTATTTGTGAATCCCGTCACGAAAAATGTCGAAGGCAAATTCGTTTTGCCCCAGCCCACACATGTGCCCTCGGCGCTGTGTCTGGGGCCCTCAGGGGTCCTAGGGGGGCCCCCTGGAGCTTCTTTCAACAGCAGCATGGCAGCCAAAGGCCAGCTGGAGCAGCAGCAGCAGCAGCAGTTGCTGCCACGCAGCGAAAGCACTGCAGCTGCTGCTGCTTCGAGAGAGGCAGATGCTGCTGCTGCGCTGCTGTGCGTGGGCACAGCTGAAGTTGTACTTAATGACTGCGTCCCCCAAAATGGTTGCATTCATGTTTTGAGGATTTCCAGAGTAAGCTGGCGTTTCTCTGAAGTCTTTTTTACTTTTTGTCCTCTTCAACTATTTTTGGCATTATTAGTCTTCTTATTGAGCCCTTTGCCCTTCCTTGCTGCTGTTATTTTCTCCTTGTCTTTGCTGCTTCCTGTTCCTGCTGCCATCCGAGGCTTCTCCCCGCCTTTCAGTGTCTTGCATTTTCACCAGCAGCAACACTGCTGCTGCGGTTGCTCTGCTGCAGCGCAGGTGCATTGCTGCCACAGCAGCTAATCAGAACTGTTCCACTGACACTAGTGCTGCGCGCTGCTGCTTCCTGCCTAACTGTCAGCTGCTGCGTCTCTCCATTCAGCTGAAACTGTTTTGTCGCTGCTTGCTGTAGCTGCTTAGCTGTGTTGCTGCCCCTGTGCTGCTGCTGCTCCCTCTGCTGCTGCTGCTGCTACCGCACAGGTTCACGGCATGCTGGTCATAGCTGAAGCAGCAGAACGCATGCGCCTGCTGGCGGGAGTCCACGAACTCCGGGTCTTTGACGGCATGGTCTTAGCTGCATGCAACCACCAAGTATGCGGCTGCTGCTTCTGCTGCTCCTGTTGCTGCTGTTGTTCTTGCTGCTGCATTGCTGCCCACCCCATCCATTTCCTTGAAACAATTAGCTGAGAAAAGCTGTGTGCCTCTGATGTGGCTGCGGGTGCTGCCGCTGATGCCTTTTGCTTCTGTGAGGAGTGTATTTCGATGCTGCTGCTGCTGCAGCTTCGACTGATCAAACTGAGCCTCCCCGGAGACAGCCTCCAAGAGGAGCGCTCCTCAAACCGCGCAACGCAGCCGGAGCGCCGCGGCCAGCGCCGCAAGCAGCAGCAGCAGCAGCAGCAGCGAAGACGTGACGGCTCGAGTTTGATGGACATAGGGGAAGACATGGACAATGATGGAGTGTCTCAAGACGAAAAAGAAGCAGTTGCTGCTGCAGCTGCGGACAAAGGCTTGGGTGCTCTGGGCCGCATTCAGCTGCGTTGCATTGCCACGTTTGCTGCCAGCACTTTCATTGCCTCACTCGACGTCCTGTAAGAGCAGCAGCAGCAGCAGCAGCAGCACCAGGAGCACCCGCACCAGCCTCAGCGGCAACAGCAGCACTATGACACATACGGCTGCAGCAGCTGCTGCAGCTCGTGGAGCTCAAGGAGGCAGGGACTCCTCCTGTGTCTGTCTGTTGACCTTTAGGCTTCCCTTTTCTCTTCTTTGCATATTTTTTGCTTTTTAGTCCCATGGGCCTTTCTTGTTTCTTCTTTTCTTGTCATTTCCTGTTTTGTTGCTGCAGAGAAGACCGGCTGATTTGCGTTGGTGACATGATGTCTTCTGCTTGCATTGTAGAATGGAGGCCCAGCGAAAAAGCGCTGCGCGAAGTCGCAAGGGATATGCGATGTGCATGGCCGCTGTGAGGCCCTGCTGCTGCGTTGCTGCAGCCCTTGCTGCTGCTGTGGCTGCTGCGGCTGCTGCTGTGGCAGCTTCTAGACACAGCTGCTTGCTGTTGGGGCTGAAGCCGGCCTGTCTCGTGCTGCTGCCGCTGCTGCTGCTGCTGCTTCGCAGGGGAGTCTCGCTCTTGAATGGAGACAGCTGCCTGATGTCTGATGGAGAACAAAACTTGTGGGTGCTGCAGCGGGCGGTGCCTGAGGGGGCCCTCAAAGGCCTCTGCTGCGGGCGTGACGGAGAGGCGCAGCAGCGCCCTGCTGCCGCTGCTGCCGCAGCAGAGAGGCAGCAGGACGAAGACACGGCCGGCGGCAGCGGCAGAAACCGTCAGCAGCAGCAGCAGCAGCAGCAAGCGGGTGCTGCTGCTGAGACTGCTTCAGGGTTCAGTATGAGTGATGCGCAGCGCTTTCGACTCTCGCCTTCTGCTGCGCTTCAAACTCCAGTTTCCCTTAACAAATTCGTCCACGGAGGCATCAGCGTACAAGTTACTGAGGGGCTGCTGTGGGGACCTTCGAGTGAGCAGCAGCAGCGGGAGCAAGGCCCCCCAGCAGCAGCAGCTACGTCAGCAGCAAGCGAGGAGGTTCTAGGTGGGTTGCTAGAGGACGCGCACGAGGGTCTGATGCTGGGTTTGTCTGGATCGAGCAGCAGCAGCGGGTGCAGCAGCGGCGGGTGCAGCAACAGCAACAGCAGCAGTGGACAGCCGCACCAGAAGTCGGCTTCGCTCTGTTGCCCCTCGTACACTCGCACTTGGGTTTCAGCTGAAGGCAGCATTGGAGTTGTTTTGAAACTGAGAGACCCTGAAACTTTCGCAAAGATGGCGGTGGTGGAGGATGCTGTTGGGTACATCATGGAGTGGATCGGGTGTACGTACAAAACAGGACAAACGTGAATGCATGCAGTGGCAGCACTTTGACTGCAGGCCGGTTTTTTTGCTCGCAAATCCAAATGATTGATTTAAATACCTGTCTGTTTTTTGCGTAGTTTGTTGGCTTCACAACAGCGCTGTTTCCATACTTGGTTCTTTTCGTATCTTTTCTTTTTGTTTCTGCCTCTCAGTCTGTCATTTTCTTGTAGCTCCTCTTGCCTAGTGGCAGTGCTGTTTGGGGATATCTCACGAGCCCATTCCGGGCTTTACCTCTGTTGCATATTTCTGCGTAGCCTGAGAGGGGCTCCGCTCTTAAAGCTGCTGGAGCAGCAGGAGCAGCAGCAGCTCCAGGGGCAGCAGGAGTAGCAGCTGTGAGCGATGTTTGTCTTGCTGCTGCTCTGCGTGTGCAGTTCGTGGGAGATCACCTGGGCAAGGGTCGAGTCCGTATAAGGGTTTTGTAGACGGAGATATGTTAGAGCAGTTGCTGCTGCTGCGGCCAAGAGAACAGCGGGAGGTGTACAAGCTGGCTAGAGTGTAAGCTGGTGCATGCTTTATGTGTCCTTGCTTCTTGTGGTCATTGACTAAGAGACAGACAGAGCCAAAAGCGGGGCTTGGGGGACATAAGACCGAATTAGTCCTGCGTGCAAATGTGGTTGGCTAGCTGTTTCCTAGTAATTGTGCTGCTGCGTCATCTGCATCTGCTGCTTATGCGGTTGTTGTCTTTGCCGCTGCAGCACTGCAGAGGAAATCGGCTTGTCGCTGCCCTCCCTAGATGAACTGCTACTGCAGATTGAGCACCTGCGGCAGCTGCATTGAAGCTCGCATTTCCTCTTCCGAGATCCGCCCCAAATCAATAGGGCCTTGCTGCGGGGCCCGTGCATGCGTGCATTGTCGCTTGCATGCATTGTTGCATGCATGGATGCAACTCTTCCATGTATGCGCAACAGAAAGGTGCCGAATTCCTTTGTCTACAAAGGAGCAGCGGCTGAGGCTGCTGGTGCTTCTGCTGCTGCCAGCGCATGTGTTGCAGAAGTCACACGGACGTATCGGAATTATGTACACCTGGCTCTTGCGGCTTCTTTATTGCCGCCAGACTATGTGGAAGCAGCATTATAAAGCATTACTGGTGTACCCCATGGAGCTCCATGCTTTACGGAAACCACTAGCTCTGAAGAAGCCGTATCTGAACGCAGAGCCTTGAAACTCGAAGACAGAAACCGTTAGCTCTTAAGAAGCCGTAGCTGATCTAAATAACGTTGAAACGCGATGCCGAAGCCCCTGCTTCGGGGGGGCACGGACTGGGGTCGAGTGACTTCATTGCCACTCTCCATTAGCTCCACTGGGCGAGCGCCGCATATCTGAAAGTTGCAACGGCAAAAGGCGCTCCCTCGCGGATGCGCAGTTGGGGCTTTTCGTCCCACCACAGCGGCGGCTGCGGCCTATACCCCGCAGCAGCCCATCAGCCGTGTCATTTCTAGCCCGATGTTCAGGAATTTCGCTGGCTTGGGGCCCTTGCCACCCAGCAAACGCATGCACAGATGCAGTCGCACCTGTGGTCTCGCCTAAATAGTGTGCACCTGCGCACGCAGCGCTGGGGTTGAAACACTACCTGTATGGACGAAGGCACGGACTGCTGGAAAGCGGCAGCTGCTGGTAACCATAGTGAACGATGCTGCTCAGATGCAGCCCTGGTCACGCACGTTTCGCCATACCTCTTGCCTTTGCTGCTTGCTGCTTTTGCTGCCGCTTGGTCCCGCGATCCCCAACCTTCCTTCTAAAATATCAGATCTTGTATCCCTTTGTTTGCAAGGAGTGTGCTGTTCTCCCCTACGCTGTTTCCGTTTGCCTAGGAGTGCACTGGAGGATCCACTTGTTTCCCGTGTGCGCCGACTAGAGGTTTTGCCGCGTAAAGCCGCTTCAACTCCTGCTTCTGCAATTATTGTTACCCATATACTTCATTTGCAATTGCATCAAAACTAGAGGGCGCCCTAGCTGCTTGGCTACTCCTCTGTCCCCACTGAGACTGCTGCTGCGCATGCTGTTGTTTCCACTGCAGCAATTTCCCCACCTTTGCGTAGGCCACGATGTGCAGAGGCTGCCGATTTTCTGTTCTATCCCTTTAGTATTATTGTTTTTCTCAATAGTAGCGGCCCTGCTGTCTCTGAATACCTGACAAGTCTTGAGCGCTAGATGCCTTCGTCTGAAGTTGTTCGTGACTGGCTTGTCGTTAGCAGGACAAGAGCCCTCTCTCCCGTTCACCCCTTCCTTTTGTCTTTTTTTTTCTCTTTCTGCCGGTTTTCATGTGTGGGTGCAAATGCAGTCTTCCGGCGCAATCATGCTGCGACGTTGCAATCTTTCTTCTTTTTCTCCTCAATGAGACTCAGAATCGCCGGTTCAGTCCAGTGCAGACTGCTGACGCCCATGCTGACGCCCTGCTTGCAGCTAATCTCCTCCCCACATTCATTTACACACAAGGCTGTGTCTTCTAAAGTTGTTAGCTGACTGGGGCTGTAGCACCGCCACTGCTTTTCCCGTTGGCTAGAGTCTCCCACATCCTTGCGTGCCACTGCGCCTCCCATGCAAAAATCTCCAGTGCATCTATCCGAAAGCAGTTCTCTGCAATACTTGTCAAGCTCTCTCTGAAGAGCATTGGAAGCTCCTGGAGGGTCTGTACCGTAACATGTTTGGTGAACGTTGTCCGATATCAGTTTTTCTAGGTCAACCTCGCTCGTCCAGACCATACCCTTCGCTGGATTAGTACCGTGCAGGCATTGGACATCCTCTCCACAGTCAGAGATGCAAAGAGCTGTGAAGGTCGTATTGATGATAGCTTTGGGGTGGTAGCAGCTCCAGGCTTTTGTCGTTGCCTGCGGGCTAGGCAGATCTTTGCGAGCCACGGCTCCACCCTTGCAACTGTCTTTTTCTGGTGGGCACTTCGAGGCTAAAGCTTCTTTGCATGCATTATCCAGCAGATTCTGCAGAACATATTTCTCTCCGGCTTTGTATGCTTCTGCCCTAGCGTGCCTGATTATGCTCTCTAGAGGAGAGGTCAGACTCCAGTGTTCGTCGCTTATCCTTCCTTTGACTCCGCTTTGGCAGGCAACCTCATGTGGTAAGCAGCCCCAAATGCAGGTGCTGCTAAAGTCACCAGAGAGAGCAAAAGGGCTATAGCAGCGCCACATCTGCGTTTGCTGTGTGAGAGTCCCTACGTCCTTCCTCGCCACAGGCCCTCCAGAGCAGCTTTTATCATTGGAAGGACACAGAAACCGGAGTGCGTCTTTGCAAAAGTTGTCGAGTCTATCTTGAGTTTCTTTCAAGCACTTGTTTTCTTTGCAGAAATACGTCTTGAAGTTGTTCATCACCTCCCGAATGGCCTTATCGGTGCTCCAAACAGGACGGTCCATCATTAGCTCGGGCTCCCTGCACTCTTGCTCTTTTCCACAGTTCGACGTGCAGCGCCCTTCAATTACTCCTTTTTTGGTAGCCTTGTAGAAGCACTGATAGATTTTTTCTGTGCTGGTATTCGTGCCACTGACAACGTTGGAGACCAGGCGAGCCCTGCAGTCTTTGCAAGTAGTCAATTCCTTGGCGGCTAAGCATTGCAACGTGCAGAATTTGTCCAGCGCATCCTGGAGCCCACTTGCTGCCCTCAGAAATTCTGCCTACGCCGCAACAATACGAATACGCGCATGTTCAAGTGGGTATTGGTGCTTATCTTCGCGTCTGCATCCGTCGGCGCAAATGTAGAAGCAGAATTAGAAGTAGAGATAAGCGCAAACGCCCGCATAACATGAACTTGGAAACAAAGCCTCATGCAACGCTTGAGTACGAGTTGAAAAACAAGGCAGACGCAGGCAAACAAGCAAACAAGCTTATAGCAGAGCCGCAGGTAGCAAATTTCTCATCCCTAGATTACAGAGCTGCTTTCAATGGAAAGGGAAAAGCCGCTGCGGCACCCAGAGATGCGAATGCATTTCAGGGTGCCGCTGTTGCCTTCTATTGATGCAGCTGCAGCAGCCAGATATGCTTCCCAAAAAGGGTTCCAATTCATTTTAGATGTAGAAGGATGGAAGCAACAAGAAAAGAGTTGCACGCGCTGCCGCAAAAGGCGAACAAGCAAGAACAGCAGTAGGTAAGGCAGCAGAAACAGCAGCAGCTTGGGGCTGACGAACAGTAGCAGCATCTGCAGCAAACAAAAACGAAGCACAGCAGCAGAAAACTATGGCGCTTGCATGCCTGCTCTTGAAAAACCAAAGCACGGAAAGGCGAGGGGGACCATAGGGCTAAGTGTGCATGCAAACAAAGAGGAAGTTGCCATAGTTTCAATGAATACTGCGGGCAATGACAGTCCGTATGAGCATAGAGCTAAAGTTGTATGCACATATAGAAGAAATTGTCTGAGTTTCAATGAATACTGCAGATAAGGAGAGCCCGCGGGACACTGAGATGAGACCCACGGGTTCCCCAGGAGGGCCTTAGAGAGGGCTAAGAAAGGCATCAAGGGCACTTAAGAGGGAATGGCGACGTCACAGGAAAGGCATGAGGGATTCTGCACAAAGGAATGCTTCAAGAGAGCTTCAAGAGAGCCTCTAGGGGAGCTTCAAGATCCAACACCAGGGGAGCCTTCAGTGGCTTTTGCAGATGCCCGCCGAGCCCATAGTTCGACAGTGTCTAGAAGCCTCAATATAAGCACACTGGAGCACTAATGCACCCAAAGGGAACAAAATTAGAAAGGACGGGAGGCAGTTCACGTTGGGTTTCGGCGTTGGTAAGGATGTGCCGCATCCTTGCAGTGGGGAGTTGGCTGCACTAGTAGCTCACTAAGGCTTTGGGCAGAGGCTGCTGCGGTGTTGGAGATCCAAACAAAAATAAGCAAAAGAAGGAAGGCTACACCGTTTTTTGTGTAGGGACACATCTTGCTGCAAATGACGTTTCTGCTGCTGCTGGCGACCCGTGCCATATCGACAGCTGCACAGCGCAGCTTCTGCACTTGTTGACTGGATTTATTTCAACCTTTCAAAATAAAATTAGCGAGGGCAACTGCAAGCCGACGCAGAAAATGGTACGAGGATCGAGCCCGCCGGAAAGTTGGGTACAGGGTCTTCTGCGGATAGCGGCGCGTCCTCTTGAGCCACTCCTTTAGGGGCGGAAAACTAAAAAGATAGGGAATTGCCATCAAACAAAAATTTATATTTTGTTGCAGTAAAAAACAAAAATCGTCAAAACATGAAAACAGGCCTTGGACCGCAGCCGCCTGTCGCTGGACCAGACCAGCGCCTGCGGTGTCCACTGGTAGAAGCTGCAGCAGCAGCAGCAGCATTTATCTCTCATTATTCTGCACACATTTTGGAAATACAGCATGCGTAGGTGTACTCGTGAAGATCGTAGAGACATGAGCCTCCACGTGAGCTGCCTAGTCAACGGGCTAGCTGCCACCCCACACAAGGAGAAAGCCTCTGCTGACCAAGGGAGACCGCCACAAAAGAAATTAGATAAGTTCATGTGCTGACAAACCACGCTTAATCAACCCCACACTTGGCTTGCCAGCCTCGGGATTATCTTTACTCGCAGCCACACCTCCGCCGATGGCCACGAAAGGCAAAGAACCACCAGCAAAAGCAGTGTCACACTACACGTTTGGCTCCAAAGCGTTCCAACACGAACCGTCTAGTGCTAAAAAAGTCAGCAGGAGCCGCAGGAACGGAGGCAAAGGCACTGGCAGACGTGGATGCAGCAACACGAGCTACTGCAGCCTCAGCAAGTAGTCGAGCCCCAAATGCTCAATATATTTGAATGCCTCAGGCAATAAGAAAAAACAAGCAAATGTGTCTTAAAAGGCCTGCCTGCAAGTGAAAGCCACTGCAGCAGGTACAGCTTTTGTCCCTCGGGGAGACTTTCTCTGGGTGTCTGGAGCAGCCTAATGGGCGCCTTCAAGTGTATCTGCGGCTGGCTCCCTCCCTTCAAGGCTAATACACGGAAAAAAATGGCATTATCGAGAAAAAGCAGGCCCTCACAGTTCTTCCAAACCCTAAAGAACCAAAAGAGGCTTTAGTGTTAACAGCGCACGAACTAGAGAAGCAGCAGCAGCACATCTCTGTTGCTGAGGGCCGCGGGGTCGGATCAGCTCTAGTGCCATTTCTAACTCATTCCGTGTCGCTGTCACCTCAAGCATGCAAGAGCAACACACGCAACACCGTCCATGCCCTCCAAGGTCACGTTCGCTCTGCTGCAGCTGCAGCAGAGCGGCAACACCAGCGGCTGCTGCAACAGGTGGTACTGCTGCTATGTCTGAACAACGTAGCTGAAAGACAGCAGGACCCTGTGGACGGCACATACATATTGCCCTTTGCCTTGGTTTCTTGGTGAAGCATGCTCGAGAGTATAAGAAGGCACGAGCTATGGCGTAGCCAGTTTTACATGAAACACAGGGGCCTTGGGTGCGCATGCATGCACATGTGTGGAAGGCAAAACACTAAAAAGCGAGGCAAAACAAACTGCGAACGATACAAGATGATGCTGCTTGGCTACACATTTAGCCAGAATTCTCTGGTTCTGTTACTTCCGTTTCTGCTGCTGCTTTCTCCTGTTTCTCCTCCACGTGAGCACGGAGGGGCACCCGTTTTGGAACCTTGCAGTACTCTCTCTTTTTTTCCTTGATAAGAATCTTTATCGCTACCTCCTTAGTCCAGTGAAGATTGCTGATGCCACCAACTACTCCCTGCCTGCACTTAATCTCCTTCCCACATTCATTTACACACAAGGCTGTGTCTACTGAATTTGTTAGCTGAGTAGGGCTGTAGCACCGCCACTGCTTACTCCGCTGGCTGAGGCCCCCCATGTCCTTACGAGCCACTGCGCCTCCCAAGCAAAAGTCTCCGGTGCACCTATCAGAGAGAAGCTCTCTGCAATACTTGTCAAGCTCTCGCTGAAGACCATTGAGAGCTCCTGGAGGCTCTGTACCGTAGCACGTTCTGAGAACATTGTCCGATATCAGCTGCTCCAGGTCCACCACGCCCGTCCAGACCATACCCTCCCCTGGGGTAGTGCCATGCAGGCATTTGATATCATCCCCGCAGTCAGAAATGCAACGAGCTGTGAAGGATTCTTTGTTCAAAGCCTTGGGGTGATAGCAGCTCCAGACTGCTGCTTTCGCCTCCAGTGTAGGCAGATCTTTGCGAGCCACAGCTCCCCCCGTGCAACTGCCTTCGTCTGGTGGGCATTCCTTGGCCAACGCTTCCTTGCATGCATTGTCCAGTATCTTCTGCAGCTCATAGGTCTGTCCAGCTCTGTATGAATCTGCCTTAGCGTGCCTAATTATGGATTCTAGAGCAGCGGTTAGGCTCCAGTGCCTATTGCTCCGCCCTTGTTCGAGCCCTCCGTCGCAGGTGACCTCATCTGGTATGCAGCCCTCCATGCAAGTGCTGCTAACGCTATCAGAAAGGGCACTAGGCCCATAGCAGCGCCAACTCTTCTCCTGCTGCGCAACAGTTCCTACGTCCTTCCTCGCCACAGCCCCCCCGGAGCAGGTGGGATCCTTGGGGGGACACAGAAACGTCAGTGCTTCTTTGCAATAGTTGTTGAGTCTGTTTTGGGTGTGCTCACGGCATTTGTCCTCCTTGCAGAAGTACGCCTTGTATGTGTTGACCTGCTCCCGAATGGCCTCATCAGTGCTCCAGACTGGGTTGCTCGTCACTAAGGAGGTGTCTTTGCACTCTTGCTGCCTTGCACAGTCCGAGACGCAGCGCCCTTGAACGCCTCCCCCGCCCTGAGCCTTGAAATAGCACTGGAAAGTGCCTTCCAGCGCGTGGTTTGGGCTGTCGCTACTGCTGGGTTTGGGTATTAAACGTGCCTTGGTGTTGCTGCAAACATTCATTTGAGGATTTCTTAAGCACTGTATCATGCAGAACGTGTCCAGGGCCCCCTGCAGACTCCCGGATTCTTTCATTAGCCGCGCCTACGCAACACTTGCACAAGCATGAGCATGTGCAACCTTCCGTTTGTGCTGTTGTGCAGCTGCTGCTCCCCATGTGTAAAGATGTATAGCTAGCTACGTGGGCAAGAGGGAAAGGCTAATATTGCTCTTTTCAAAGAAGTGCTCAAGAGCGATCAGCTAGCCACAAGTGGCCATGCGTTGGAAGAACCACTTTGATGCCCACAGACAGACTGTGTGAAGTGGCACTAGCGGCTACGGCGACACAAGCAACGAAGTTTGCTCGAAGGCAAGCACGAATTTGCAGTAACGCGGATGAAAAGCAGAGGAATACGAGAAAAGCTGCAGTCATGATACAAAAAGGCCTATTTAAACAGTCACTGCCCAGGTTTTTGAGTGAAAGTAGACCCTCATGTTCCTACTATCCGATGGAAGCAAAGAAAGGGCTGAGATAGCTGGACTGCAGCTGCACTTCACCCTGTAATGTTATATGGGCGCTGCAGCTCCTCTCTAAAGGCTGTTCAGCATCAGTTCAGCTAGTGAGAAGGTGCAGAAACAGCAGCAGTTGCAGCAACAGCAGCAAATACACCAACGGAGGAGCAGCAAAAGCGTCGCGGGGCTCACGGACATTGAAATGTGCTGCGAAAAACACACCAAAACACAACAGGGGAAGTCAGCGGGGTTACATGCATCTACGGGGCAAATGAAGAATATAAAAGCAAAATAAATTGAAGGTGGTTTTCAGACGTAGGTAACCAGCAGACAAGTACAAAGAGCGCGGTTCCGATGTAAGAAAACTTTGCGAGAAGACTTGGCACGGTGACCCAGCAAGGATCCAGCGTAAGCCAGGGGTCCCAGTTTGCTTGTGCAAAGTCAAACGTGCCTCTTGCTGATTTTAAGTGTTCTATTTGCTCAGTCGGGAGCCCCAGCGGGGCTCACAGAGATACAGTGTGACAAAGGGAGGCAAAAACTAGGGCTTGCTTGTTCTGTAGGCTGATAAAGGTAAGTCACCAGAGTCAACTGCTTCTTAAACTCACCAAAATCTTCCTTAGTGTGGGATTCAGTAATGATGAGGCCCAAACAAACTAACAGCGAGGGTTGCCAGAGGCGCTGCAGGCAGGGGAAGGGAGACATTTTGTTTGCTGTTGTTGTCCAGGTGCTCTTGCTGCTGTTGTTGCTGCCGCTTTGTCACTGACACACAGTTGTACATGGCAATCCTTTATTTTTTTGAAGTGAATCAATTGCAATTAATGGGAACAAAAATAAACACGGTGAACAAGTAAGGACAGATGCAGGGACAAGGCTCGATCCGACGCCAGACGACCTCATGCGAGCTGGTGGGTCAGCAATTCCCGCTTCAAAAGCACACACTATTGAATCAATAAGATATTCGTGTGCCCTTAGTGCTTCATGTAATGGTTTAATTCAGTTTGCATACCACACAGTTTGTGGCTGCCCACCTAGCATGGCTGCCCCTGGGCGACCGGACCAGTTCTGCTGTGCCAGTGGGCCCTCAGTCTCAGCAGCTCGGGCAGCAACAGCAGCGTATCATCCCTTAAGTTGGGTAAAAACCAAAATAGAATACGTGAACACATTTATGTGTAGAAAATTTAGACAAAAACACGGTTGACGAATGGGCCGCAGCACACTCATATGCTCATACAGTCTAAGGGTTCCATTATGGGATCTGCACTTAACCACCGGTTAAGCAATGAGCATTTTAGGGATATTACCGCTTTTTCCATGTAATATCTACCAAAACCGTAACCAGTGGAACGGGCTATGCTGAATCAGCGGGAATTGAATATCTGATAAGTTGAGTTATAGTCGGGTGTAGTGGGACAATTTTTAGACAGCATAGCATCGGTGGATGCCTCTACAGCTGTGGAACCTTGCTATATGAACTAACCCGACTTCAAGACCTCTTAATATTTGGCACTTGATAATGCTTGTTCCATCGGGCACCGGAGAGCAGCCTTCCGACTCGTGCAGGTTTGCAATTTGCTCATAGTATCGCTAAGCACTTAGCCTTAAGCCCCAACGCTTTTTCCGTACTTCACTTGAAGTAATAATGCTCACGCAACTGTAAATCTTTCGCCTCAAGTGGTGCTTCGAGTTCCCCGAAGTCGTACACGAACTGAAGCAGCGTTTGACTTAAGGGTCACCTCTCACATACAAATGCCTTGCCCCACAAAGTTCTAGCACTTTCGTGGGTCGAATGATACCTCTCACTCACATCTACGGTCCTGGATAGTGAGGCCAGAAACTGCAGTATTTATCACCCCGAAACCTGTCTGCACTCTCTAACCCGTTGATATGGAATGCAGTGCAAAAGAAGAGGGGTCCAAGTAAAACAGCCACTGCATCTCCTAATGACAGTTTCCATGCCTGTTAATAGCAACGCTTCGAAACAACAACGACATGTTCCTAGTGCATTCTGGGCCCAGCAAATAAAGACCAGCACACCGGCTAAGCATGCTACATAATAACTTTGAATAAACAGGGCAACGCTGCTAACTAGGTCTTACGGATTACTGTGAAAGGGTGTTAACTGTTGCAGAATGCCGTCCGACCTCCAGCAGCAGTGTATTTCCTGACCCTGCGCTGTGTGCCAAGATTGGTCGTAGTCATGTTTTGGGGCCGACAGCGCTAGAGCGGTAATGATGAAGGCCGAGGAGCCCAAGTCCAAAGCAAACAAAAGCATAACGACCTACTTGCAGACACCGAAGTCCATAGAGTTTGCGAGCTCAGCTAGCGGGAAGGTGTCAGCGGCGAAGTGCAAGAGATGCGCTGAAATCCTGCTGCCCGCGATCTGGAGACGAGATTGCGGCCTTCGCAATCTGCATCCTGCTAGTCAAGGACGTTTGTAAAACGTCGTTGGCTAGCAGGATGCTGAATTTGAGCTAACGCATGAGCTTGCTTGGGGCAGTCAAATACGTCAGGCTCGCAAGCAGAGTACGGTCTAATGCTCTTCCAGGAAGCGGAAAGTCAAGTATGGCTGGCAGGCAGCATTTCAAGTTTTTCCACTTGAGGAGTGCTTAGAAGCAGTGCCAGGATTTGCTGCCCTGTTTTCTTGACAAAGTGGGCAAACAGCATACTTCTGAATATTGGCTGCCGACGTGGACAAAGCAGGCCCCTGGCATATGGAGTGCACTACCAAGCGAATCTACTGCAAAGCACATATGATACATGAAAGTGTATGTAACTGAAAAGCGCTCGGATGTGCGACCCGGGACCGCATTTGCTGTTGCCGGATCTTGGACATCACTGATGCCCTTGACTTGATCCTGGCAGTGTGTAAACTCCCTGAGGATCCCACAGGAATTAAGCGTTTTTTGCCTCTTTTTGGTCATAACCGATATGGTTTCGTGTTTTAGGTTGTCCCTCTCCCTCTTAGCAAAACTGCATTTACATCTTTGGCTTCTCACACGCGATGGCTCTCTCTAGCTCCTCGGCACTACTCTCTATCATTCAGTCCCTTGCTGTACGTTTTGTGAACGCATGCCCGCGCCAATGCGGCGTTGTTTCTGCTCAGGAGTAAGCTCAAAAACGGATAGCATGAAACTTCAATAGGCATGCGCTGTTTCGATTCGCCTCAGTGTGCACATTTGGAATATCGTCGGCCGACGATCACGCTGTAGACTCTGTTGGGACGTCATAACCCCGAGAAATCCAAGCGTCCTAGTCTCTGTGATAGATGAGCTGCAGACAGAAAATGAGGTAGAAGCACTTGCTCGCACCATACATTTGTCTGGATGCCCTCTTGTGCGAACTTTCTCCTTCATCCGTTGCTCTGTGCCTTCGGCAGTGCGTAGCTCTAAATTTCAGTAGGAGCGGTCACGAGGTCTTCCCGAAGTTCGAGAAAACTGTCGATTTGCACTAATAGTTTTAGCCAGGGTTGTTCGGGCAGCCTCTGGAATTCTCCAGGCCTCTTGACAAAGCCAGAATACACTGAAGTCCGGGCTGCCCGAGAGCAAGCCGCATGCAGATGCCACCGGGAGTAGAATATATTTTCAGTGGCGTTCGTGGGAAGAAAAAGCTCTCACCAGCCTCCACAGGCCTCGCTGATTTCGGTCGTGTCCAATCCAGCTCAGGCACTAAACTCTGCTTACGAGAGGCAAACACAGATACGCGGTGTGAAACGGGTCAATACCAAACCCCACAAAACAGCAACACAACCATCAGCGGAAGTCCAAGGAACAGCAAAATCCCTAACAGCAAACGCAGCAGAACACGGTGCACTCGCTATGTGACTACCTATGTGACAGGAACAAAATGTGTTAAACTCCCGACGGCCTCTGGAACTGGCAAAGAAGACAAAAGTAACAGAATCCTGTGCAGTTCAAAAGGGACCCACGAGAGGGACCTTCAGGCCCCCTGCTGCTTGTTTCCCTACGTTTGTGGCGTTCTGGACAAAGGAAGAACCCTCTGGTGCCCCATGCTGAGTCCCAGGCCCGTCGGTGGCCACCTGCGGAGACTCTGCCCATCTCTCAAGCCATATCTTCTCTCTCTGCAGAGATTTAACACGGGTCACGCCGATGCAGCGCAGCTGCAGCTGCTTGTGCAGCAGCAACAGCGGCTCTGGGCCCCACCCCCAGTCGTGAGCTGTGTAGCGCGACCTTGTTTCCTCACCAAAGAGCTCGGGTGAAAGCACGCTGCACTCTCTCCTACGGATGAGAGGCTTCCCTGTGCCCTGAACATCTGCTGCAGCTTCTGCAACAGTAGCAACAACAGAAGCTGCAGCGGGGGACGTTCCCCGTTACGGGAACTACAGCAAAACTAACTGCGGGTGGTGCGGGGGCTGCCTAAGGTGTCAGCCGCTGCGTGTGAGCCCTGTGAGGGGTCACTATGAGTGGCGGCACCCTAGGAACTCTCTGGAGGCAGTTTTCTGTCTCCGTCCCCCCAAGGGGTCTCATCACGAAAATCAATGAATGAAGCACCACCAGCAGCTAATTCACTAGCGAGTGCAGCTGCTGCACCTGCTGCTGCTGGTAACAGTTCTAAACGCCTGTTTGGCTTCGTGGAAAGTCTACTGTGCTGTGTCTGTGTCCCCATCTGTTTCCGTCGCATCCCCCTCTTCCTCCTCTTCGGGATCGCTCACTGCTTCCGATCCTACCCGGCGCTGCCAGTTCCACGCCTCGCTGCCCTGCGACGCCCTCTGCGCCTTCAGAGCCTGGAACTCTGCAGAAAGACCAGCCCCACACCTTACAGCCCGGAGGTTTAGCCGCAACGTCTTAGCCTCATTGTGAAATGGCTTTTGCGGAAAGGCCACGCAGGCAGGGAAAGAAAAATATAAACCAGAAAAGGAATATAGTGCCAAACGACGAGGACCCCACTACGCAAAGCAAAGGCAGCAACTGAAGATATGCCGATGCACCAGACACGTCATAACTACTGGAACATGCACAGGGCTCGAAACCAAATTTAGATATGAAGAGCCGCGCAAAGAGGCAGCACAGAAGCAGCAACAAGTGCAGGCCACAGGAATAGCTCGAAGGCATTCGGCGGGGAACAAGAGAGGTATTAAGGCGAAGACCGTCGGGAAAAAGGGAGAATTTGGATCTACTGCAAGGCACAAGCATATGAGCCTTCAACGAGTATAGATAGAATAGGAATAAAAGGAACACAAAAAGGATATGAGTCTCCAGAGAATATGAATTGAGTAAGACTAAAAGGAAACACGAAGAGCCCCGGAGGAATGGCGCGGAAACAAGAAAAACGGAATCAACAAGAAAGCAAGCCTGTGGAAACAAAATGCAACGCCACCTAAATGAATTGTCCCTTTTACCTGGTGAGGCCATGAGCTCCTGGACAGCAGCATAAGTTGCGTCTTTCTTGTTGTACTCCTCGAGGGTCATTTGGTTTTGGCAGTAGCGGATGGGGGGAGGGTTGACTGCGGCGTTTACAGAGGCGCATGCGCAAGCCCCAAGGATACATTCGGCTTTTGTTTCAGACATTTTCGGAGTTTTGAATCTGCAATGCCTTCTGTGCAAGCGTTTGTTTGTGCAGCTCTTTGAAAGGGACCCACGGGGGCCTCACCTTCGATTTCTCTGTCTCGTTTGTAGTTCAGCATGCCTCGGATAAGGGCAGTGCCCAGCAGCAGCGTCAGCAGGCTGAGGGCCCCGATAGCAGCAGCATCAAGATACCCCCAAGCAGCAAGAGCCAACAGATGCGGCGAAACAAAGGCTAGCTCGGTCCCCTCCAAGTGCTCAGCAGCAGCACGCAGGCCCTCACTCTGGGCCAAACGACGCGCAACAGGCAGCACAGAAGCAGCAGCAATGAGGCTTCAACCAGCAGCAGCAGAGCGCCGGCAGCAGCAGCTCAGCAGCTCACCAGGTTAAGCCTCGATGGGGACTCCGGCGAAGAAGCCAGTGCAGACAAGGCTTGGCTAACCTCTACGTGCAGCCAGTGTGATGGCGGAAGGCAGTACAGCACACCACCAACTGCAGCAGCAGCAGCATCAGCAGCAGGGGAAAGCAGCGCAGGATTTCAATAGAAAGCCTCCAGTCGCAGAAGTCCTCCTGGCGGCGAACTTGAACAGCTACAACGGCAAATAGCTAAAGCCGCTAGCCAACTAGCCAGACAGTTGGCCAGCCATGTAGTGACTTGCTTCGCTAGCCAGTGTCTGAGCGGCCTAGCTAAACCCCTGCTAATGAGCGCCGCTCACCTGCTGCCACGAGGGCCAGGGTGGCATGAAAAAAGAAGTTGATGCAGAAGCTGCAGCGAGACCTAACTGAGGCTTCCGAGCCTTTGCTGCTGCGTTTTCCTCCCGCAGCTGTTGCTGCTGCTGATGCTGTTGAGGGGCAGACCACTGGACCCGTGGGCGTCGCCTCCGGAGAGCACGCCGAGGTACTGCGTGCCTCTGCTCCGGACAGCGGGTCGGCTGCAGACGACGGCATTTGGGTCTCAAAGTGCTTCATGGTGAAACTGCTGCTGCTGCTGGGCTTCTGGGTGTGGCTGGGGCCGCCGCTCTAGCTGCTGGCGCTGCTGCCGGCAGAGGAGTCAGGGCGAGCCTCAAGAAGAGAGAGGGACTCCTGAGGAGAGAAAATGCAGAATGGGAAGCGGCAACGGCCGCCAATAGCAGATGCAGCAGCAGCAGCAGCAGCTACAGGAGCAGCAACAGTCTCCGACAGTCGGCAAAAGGAGACGCCGCCGCTGTAGCGTCTCTGTGGTGAGCACGGCGGAAAAAACAGCAGCCAAAGTGATAAACTGTGCTAAGACACCAGCTGCCGCCGCCTCAGCAGCAGTAGTTGCAGCGGCGGGTGTTGCTGCTGCTGAGTCTGTGGCCGCCTACGGCAGGACACAGAGCCAAACAACGGGCTGCTGAGGCCCTCTTGTACTGTTCGTCTTTGACAGCCTAAAATGCCTTGAATTCAAAACGATTTACTTTCAGAGAAACATAAAAACTCAGGGGCAAAAACGGGAGACCTCCAAGTCTAACCCAACACCGACCCGACCAACACTCAGCCCCACTCCGCACCACAACTCCCCCCGAAGCAGCTGCTGCGGCAGCATCATGAACTACTGTTGCGGCTGTTATAGTTGCTGTAGGAGTCGCACCAGATGTAAGAAAGAAATAAGAGCTGGGGCTGCGGCCACCAACCAGTAAGCCGCAGGCTTTTCGCTGCAGTTCAGAGGGCCCGGGCCAGAAAGCATTTCGTCTTGAATTGTTGCTGCCCTTTTGTCTTGACTTACAAAACCGCCTAGCGCGTCTCATTCTCTCTTTTCTTTGGCGCTGCATTCAGTGTTTGTCAGCCAGGGCGCAGACAGAAGCAAACACGCAGGCGCAATAGCCAAAATACTCGCAGCAATCACTCAAAGCCGCAGCAGTAGAAGCAGCCGGAAGCAGCAAAGAGCATGGCACTTCCCTAAATCAGTGCGCACCTGATACTCCATCAGCACAGGGGGACATTTAGATGAGCTTCAGCTGTAGCTAACTGCTGTAGGTAGCTGTTATTTGACTGCCTCAGCTGGCAGCTTTAGCTAGCTGAGTAGGCTGCTGGCTTAGCGAGCTTCAGTGGCTGGCGGCGGTGAGGGCGCGCTATAGAGCTCCCATAACAAAGCTTTCAGTGGATGCTTAAGTGGATGTACACGTGCACGCATACCTGCGTGTGAAGGCCCTCCACTCCGTATAAAACTACTAGCGTTAGTGAGCCCAAAGCCCGCAATATAACTAATGCTGCGTATTGATGCGTTTGCCCCTGAGCGCTTCAATTCGTGGCTCTGGGACAGGAGGGGTGTTGGTACATAAGGTGCTAATCCAAAGAAAAGACAATGAAGAGGGTTCCTACGTGTTAGAGGGACAGTCCCATACAGGCAAACAAAGACAATCAAATAGAACGGAAAGTGCTGGCGTTGAGGTGTTCCCAGGCAAACAAGCAAACAAGGACTTGCACATTAGATAAGAGGGGGAAAAGAAAGGGTTAGCAGCGGAAAAAACTTACCGCGGATGGCAAAGCAAGGACAGGACTGGACTCTCAGACTCTAACCTCTGTCACAAAAGCACCCTAGCAGCGAAAGCCTAAAGCTACCTTGAGGTCTTTTGTACGTCAAATAAATGCTTAGGATCTCAAACTGTAAAAGGGCAACCATGTACCCTGGTAGCAAACCTTAACAGCGTCTCGCTATCTGCTGCTCATAGCAAACGGCATTCTTGCGAATCATACTTGCACGTAACAACCGTGTAAATGATGAAAAAGGAAAGTGTAAAGGTAAACGCCGAACAGACAGGCAAAGGGCGTAAGAGACAAAGAATATTGATCTGTCCACCAGCCGGACCGGGACTATTGTATTTCATGAACGGAACTACAGCTCAAAAGCAGATAACTCTGACAAGCAAAACTCAGTAACAGAGGTGAATGGCACTGGTGGGGTTGCTCAGTAGCTAGCAGAAGAGGAGATACTGCAATCGGGAATCTCCTGCTGCCAGCGCTGCTGTGATATGAGCACCTTCCACGTGTCAAACTAAAAAGAACTCGTGACTGCGTCTAGAGATGTTAGCTTATGCTTGTCTGCGCAAAGTCGCGTGTCCAGCTATGAAGGCTTATTAGTAACCAAGCACGTAGATGTTCAATTCTGTGTATTTAGGTTTACTCTATATACTCGTTATATCGTCAAAATTTGAAAATCCCATTTCTGTTTCAGTTTGTGCCTGTTGCATGCGGCCTAAAACTGGAATCGGGCAAACAGGAAACGGGAAATATCCAAGCCTCACGGACTCTATTACTTCTTTAAGTCCGTTACTACAGCAGTAGCAGCTGCTGAAGCAGCGGCGATTGGTGCGGCTGGCCCAGCTGCAGCATCTCCTGAAGCTGCTGCGGCTACAGCCACTGTTTCATGTCTCGCATAGCCCCGACGCGGCGGTGCAGCAGGTCCCAGCCCTCCTCTTGTAGGATCCGCTGCCGATGGCTGTGCCGCCGCCGTGCAACAGATTCCTCAGGCTCAGTGGCTGCAGCAGCATCACTAGGCGGTGCCCCTGCCTCCTTGGGCGTCTTATCAGTAGTGGCGGCAGCTGCTGCTGCCGCCTTAGCCTTTGCCCTAGCCCGAGCTGCTGCTCGACCAAGCAGCAACTCGCCTGGCCTGTTGGTCAGCCGCTGCAGGGAGTTCTCGAGATCCTTGGGACTGACACTTACTGTGTCTTCACCAGTTGCTGTTGCGGCTGCTTCTGCTTGCTGCGGGTCTTCAAGTGCGCGGCCACGCCTGCAGAGTCACACCTATACACCGCCTTTGGCTGTTTGTGCTGCTGAAGTGCCTGAGTGAAAAGCCCAATAAGGCAAAACAGCCCTGCAGCAGCAAAACAGCTGCAAAGCTTTACCTGTCCGTCGAAGCAGCTCGCTGCAGCAGCACAGCATATCGCCTTTCTGGGGGCCCCGCCTGCATAAGACAATTGACTGCCTCCTTCAGGTCGGGCGGAGAGAAGACACTAGTGAGACGCAGAACTCGACGGCTCGTCGCATTCAGCAGCGTCTCAGACTCCAAAGAGGCAGCCTTTGCATTCCGCTGCAGCAGAAGCAACACCAGCAGCAGGAGTCCCTACGTCGATTGTTGCGAAAAGCACCACGAGTTAGTAGTAGATTCACCAGCAGCAGCTGTCATGGCAACAGCAGCACCCGCAGCAGGAATGCCAATTTTTGAAGCGGGGGTGCCAGTTGCGGTAGCGAAACAATCGCAAGAGCAGCAGCCAGGTGCTACACAATGGGAACAGGAGATGGCAAAATTAACAGACTAACCAAAAACCGAGAAAGACGCGATAGATCCTGTGGCTCCATCACATCTAGGTGCCTGTGCAGTAGCCGCGCCAGCACGTCAAACGTATCCGCCGAGAGGTGCTGCCGCCGTAGCAGTATCTGCAGCAAAACGAGACAGACAAAAAAGCTGAGCAACGGGACTCCGGCAGCGGAGGGGATGCGCTCAAGCAGCGAGACATGAATGCTTTTGAAGCAGCAAAAGTAGCAGCAGTGAAGCCAGAAACACCGGCAGCAGCAGCACGACGGCTTACCTCAGCCAGCAAGGGAACGTCACTGAGGCCTCCTGGTGTGTCCTGCAGTCTCATGATTCTCTCCGTCAGGCCCTAAGGAAACAATACACTGCCAAGCAAGAGCAGATAAATGCATTCGGCAACACCAGCAGCAGACAACGGCAGGTAGCTGAAGCGCCGTACACAGCAGCAGCAACTGCAGCAAAGACTCACTCTAAAAACCGAGTCCTTGATGGTACGACGGACACAGGCAGCAGCAGCAAAGGCAGCAGCTGATACAACCTGAACAAGCACAGCCCACAGCAGAAATCAACTAAAGAAAATTGACCAGAGGAACTGCCTGGTTTCAACTACTTCTATTTGAGGCTCTTCTACTTATTGGCACCCACAGGCAAGAAGAATTACACAAAAGACGGGCCAGTCACCGCACAAAAGAGAAATGCTAGGTGGATAAAAGACGCAAAGATGAGACAATGCACCAACTAGAAAATGAAAAGAAGGGAGATAAAAAAGACGGAACATAGTTTTAAGCGCAGGCATGTGCCGACACTGTAGCCTCACCTCCTCCAGCTCTAACACAGGGCACATGTCCCTCAGCACCAACAGGAAGTCCTTGTGCTTCTGCAAGAGAGACCAACGAAACGCCGAGCTTGCTACATAAGCACTTTGTACTCTCTATTATCTGCCTACTGATGTGTCTTGCTTCTACAGCAGAGAAAACAGGGCGACAAATACAAGAGGAATAACGGCAAAGAGCAGAAAGTGTAGAAGGGAAGCTCACCTCCCGTATGTGCGGCAAACAAGGGGGAAGCTGCTCAGCAGTGCACCGGCCCACCAACGCCAAGCTGTAGCAGCAGCAGCAGCAGGAACAGTATCAACAGACGAAGACAGCGCGAATTCGCTAAGACTCCAAGTCCAGGAAAGATGGAATAACAAAGGGCAACACCGAAGAAAAGCGAACAGGACTGATGTAACAAGCAAGTAATTAAGACGAACAGGACCGACGGCAAGGGCAAAGACTAGTAGCGATGGCAGTGTACATTCAAATTGAAAAGACCTGTAGAACAGGCACGAGACGAAATAGTTTACCTTGCGGGGCAGCAATCATGTAAGTGTGTGTGCATGTGATCCAGGACAGCCAGCAGCAAAGCTTTCTCGTTCGCTTTCAGCTGCCTGAGGCTTTCTAAGGCTCGACCAAGCAAGGCTGGAGACGCTAAGGAGAAGCCACGGTTAGCTGCGCACATAATGCCGCAGCAGCAGCTGCAGGCAGCTGCAGCGACAGCCTACTGCAGCAGCAGCCGGCCAAGTGGCAGGCGAAGCAGAGGGCCACAGACACCCCCAGAAGCATACAAGTGGACGGTAACACAGAGCGCGGTAGGACAAAAGCGGAGTCATAGAAAGGATATAAAGACTAAATGCAGCACTGAGAGAAATAATGTGAAGCAGCGAATGAATCCAGCCACAGCAAAGCAGCACCTACGCGAAGCCTGTTTTAACGCTTCCTGCAGCTGTCTGCTGAGGAGCTGTAGAAATGACCAATCCCTGTACTTGAGGTCTGTGAACGACTCAACTGCAGCAACCATGGAAAAGCAGCAAAAAGACACGCATGTCATTCCAGTTGGCGCTGTTTGTAATGTTGCTGCTAATGCTTCAAATGCTGCAGCTGCGGCTGGCCTGGCTTGTGCGGCGGTGGGTCATATATGACTCACGGAATGCGACAAGCTGTTCTATAGAAGGAACTATTCCAGTGATTTGCTTCTGCTGCCGCCGTTTGCGTCCGGGGGCTGCTGCTGCTTGTTCTGTTGCTGCCACTGCTGCACCCGATGCCTCTTGCATCCATGTATCTTCTGTACCCCACTGCAAAGACTCTCCAGTTGCGGTGCTTTTGCTGCTGTTATTGCTGCTGCCGCCTTCAGCAGCCGTCCTTGCACCCTTAGAAGCAGCCGCGGCAGCTGCTTCAGCAGCAGCAGCTGCAGCAACATGCACTCGCCTTTGAACCTCCACAGAAATGGCGCCGATGAGGCCGTAGTGGTGCAGCTGAGCCCCTGCATACCCCTGCAGCAGAAATAAAGCGAATACGAACTGCAGCAAATGCCCACGCCGCCGCAGCAGCAGCAGAAATAGCAGCCGCAGAGGCAAATGCAACAGCGGCGACGGCAGCAGCAGTTTAGCCAGCCGATCACCTGGAGAAGCTTCAGTAGATCCCCTGCGGATATTTCAGAAAGGTAAGGCATTACTGCAGCAGCAATAGCATTGAGAAGGGACTTATGCTGCAGCCGGGCAGTACCTAGAGCTGCTGCTGCGGTCACCAGCTGCTGCGGGTACAGCAGCGGCACTTGTGGCTTCAGGTGTCTCGACAGTCTGTCCACAGCAGCTGTGGCTCGCAGCTGAGCCAGCAGCCAGCACACCCGTGGCAGGTCTGCAGCAGCAGCAGCAGCAAGAACCCTTAGCCGAAGTTGAGACAATGTACGCACTCAAAGTCTACCTTTAAGGCCCGCAATTGCGGCAGCAGCTGCAGCTGCGGCTGCAGTCAAGCTGCTCTTCCTGCTGCTGCTGGTGCTGCTGAGATGATGCTACTGCTTCTACGCCAGCTCTGTAAAGCTGGCCCCAAAAGCGAGCAGGCCAGTGAGAAACAACAGGTAGCAGCAGCAGCAGCAGCAACACAGCAGCCGCAAGAACCGTCAGATGCAGCATTACCCCCGCGAGCGACAGCAGCAGCAGCAGCAACAGCAGCAAGTGGCTGACTTTGGAATCTCTTTGCTGCCTTGATAATGTCTCTGCAAAGAATGCGGAAACGAAAACCTGAAGGGTCGCAGCCGCCCAAGGCCACCAAGCGCTCGAGCGACAGCAGCAGCAAGAAGCAGCTGCGAGGGTGCACGTGTCTAGATACCGCAAATGGCAGCACAGGCAAAACGCAAAGAACCTCTCAAGGGACTTGCTGCAGCAGATCAAGGGCCAGAGCAGCAGCAGCAGCAGCAGGCGCATAGCAGCAGCAGCAGCAGGCGCACAGCAGCAGCAGCAAGGAACCCAGAAGCATCAACGCCGCAGCAGCGTAGACAGACCTGTATGTTTCGATAACGTGAAGCAGCTGCTGCGGATCTGTGGCAGCAGCAACTCGTTTTCTCCATCGAAGGCACCTGAGGCCTGAGGCTTTAGCAGCAGAAAAAGTCGGTTTGTAATTAAACCTCAGCCTCTGAGTCGATTCCAAAGATCGAGGACGAAGATAGAATTCTCTGTAGCGAGAGAAGCGGCCGCAGCCAACGTGTTTGTGGAAGCGGTAGTAGAAGCTGCGCTGTACAGACACCCCAATCCCCCGCAAAACCAGAATGGACTGGAAGCAGCTGCTGCTGCTGCCCTTGCTGCTGCGGATGCTGCAGCGAATTACGCACGAGCTGCGTCAAATGCAAATGGGAAATAGCTTCAACGCCTAAACCCAGTAATTTCTGAACTCTAAATTCACCAAGTCCGTCTTAGTCGTGGCGGCTTACAGTTTGCTGAAGTCGGTACAGCTCAGCGCCACAGCGGAGCCATGGGGGGTGGGCTTCTGCAGTATTAGGCCGGGCAGCCACAGCGGCTGGGAAGCTGTGAAGCGTGCTGCTGCAGCTGCTGCGCCAGCTGCTGGAGCAGCAGCTGCTGCTGCTGGCGCTGCAGGCGGTGCCGGTGTTGCATTTGCTAGCTGATGAGAGGGGAGTACAGCGGGTGGGCCGCAGGATATGCACGAGGGCACCCAGCCCTCTGCAGGGCGAGAGCACTGCTCGCTGCATTTGTATTTGCTGCTGCTGGCGCTGCTGTGAAAGCTGCGGGCGGAGAATGCTGAAGCACCGGCTCCTGCTGCAGTCTTATGAAAGCGCCAGACGATTCTGCGCTGCTGCAACAGGGTGGAACGGCTTCGCTAGCCACATTTCCTGCACTTGACCTGAGCGCTGCGATGCTACGGAACACGCCACGCTGCAGCAGCAGGTGCTGCCACAGTTCTACATGGGTAGTAAAGCATGTCTCGCCGCTATTTGCCACTGTTCTTTATGATTGTATTCCAAATAAAACTCACCTTACATCGTGTGCCGCATGCAGCCCCGCCACATGAGCAGCAGGACCTTCCTCACGCAAAGCAGGAAGGCAGCTGAGGCAAAAACAGTGCTGCTGCTATGGAATTGGCTAAAGCAAGAATTCCATATAACAAATATGACCAAGTAAAGAACATTTTAATGGGAGGTACGCTTCTAGGGATTTCGTAACTCTCATTATACGGGTTGCAGCAGCAGACCGCCGCTGTAACTGCAGTTTCGGCGGCGGCATGCTGCCGTGCTGACGCTGCAGAAGCAGCAGCGGCAACACGGGCAATTCCAACGAGTGCGTTCAGCGGTGACATTTTGTCTTTCGTGCCATCATTTTCACTTCTGCACTGCAGCTGTAGCAACAATACACGTTCTGCGCTGCCGCTGCAGCAGCCCGCGTCTGGTGCTGCTGCTGTTGCTGCTGCCGCAGCTGCATGCGGAGGGTTTCTTCTGACAATCTTCAGCTGCATCAGCAGCAGAAATTGCTGCTACTGATGTCTTTTAAGACGCAACAACGTCTGCTGATGTACGGACACTCCACACCGGCAGCAGCAGTGCCCATGAACCGCTCCGCTGCGTAGAGGGGGGCAGAAGGAGAAGCCACAGTATTAACGCCTGCAGCAGCACTAGCGTTTGTAGAAGCAAGGCGAGGGGTGTGTGGGGTGTACAGACACCTGCATGCACTGCTTCCGCTGCTGTAGGCCGCCGCTCAACGTGGCGCCTCATCCCTCACGGTCCCAGCACCTGCCGCAGCAGGAACAGCAGCAGCAACAACCAATTCAGCAGCAGCAACAGTGGCTTGGGCGTGACTGTTGCTGCTGCTGTGCTGCAAGGATGCGATGCAGTACCGCCGCTCCGTCGTAACAGCGGGCTGCAGCAGCAGCAGCAGCAGCAGCAGCCGTTGTAGCCCAGGGTGTTTCGCTGCTGCCTCCACGGCGCCCGACAAAAAACTTTCTGCATGTTGCGGCAGCAGCGTGAGCAACACCAGCTGTTGCTGCTGCAGCGGCGGAGAGAGGGGCCGTCGAGCGATGATCTCTTCTCGCGCCTTCTGCAGGTGCGGCCAACCTGATACTCGAACTTGTCAAGAGACTGCAGCAGCAGCGGAAGCAGCAGCAGCGGAAGCAGCAGCAGCGGGAGCAGCAGCAGCAGAAACCTCATTGAAAAGAACAGCCTCAATAGCTTCAGCAGGTGTGCGCGGTCGGAGTGTGACGTGGAGGCGCAGAAACGCAGCTTGCGGCAGCAGCAGCAACGAGAGCAGCTGCAGCAGCAGCAGCAGCAGCAGCAGCGCCTCTCTGCCTGGGCGTAAGCGGCTGCACTTCTGGAGTCTTTTGCCTTTACTGCTCCTTATTCTGGTGTGCCATTTGATGGCGCCCTTGGCCACAGGAGCAGCAGCAGCAGCAGCGACAGACGTAGCAGCGGCTGCCGCTGAAGCGGTTTTGAACACATTCGCAGAAGCTCCCAAAGAGGGGCTGCAGCAGCACTGCAGCAGCAGCAGCAGCGAAATTGAAGGATGTGATGGCACCCATGGGGCTGGCCGGGTTTCTTTCGCAGCCGAGAGCCAAACAGAAGGTGCGTCAGCAGCAGCAGCAGCAGCAGCAGCAGAAACAATGAGGAGTCCTCCTGCGTCACCCACAGTGGATGCCGCCATTCAGAGGCAGCAACTCTGGCAGCAGCAGCAGCGGTTGGAATATCAGCAGCAGCAGCTGCAGCAGGAACGTCTCCGGCTGCAGCAGCGGGAGCGAGACCAGGACGAGCAACGACAACAAATAGTGGAGCAGCTGCAGCAGCTACAGCAGCAACAGCTACAGCAGCAGCGGCTGAACGCCCGACTTCGGAAGCAGCTGCTCTTGCTGCAGGAGCAGCAGATACACAACCAGCACCTTCAGCAGCAGCAGGTATCCGAAAGGCGACGCCATGCTGTTGTTGTTGCAGACTCACCGTCAGGAGCAGCAGCACGGCACAGAGCAGCAAAGGCGTACAAGAGTCAAGGCCTTAACAGGGGCCGCCGCAGCAAGAAGGAGCAGCAGCTACAGCAGCAACAGCAACAGCAGCAGCTGAAACACTACTTCCTACAGCAGCTGCTGCTGCAGCAGCCACAGCAGCAAGATGAGGCAGCACTGCAGCATCTCGTGGACGCCGCGTCCTTCTCTGCCGATGTGACAACGGACTTGCAGCAGCAGCAGCAGCTCTTGCTGCTTCTGCAGCAACAAGAGGGAAGCTCACCTTTCTGCTGCGGCGTCAGATCTTGGGACACACAGCAGAGCGACAGCAGCACGGGAGCAGCTGGTGTCCCCAGGTGTGTCTCTAGAGAGCCTTGTGCAGCGCCAGAAGCAGCAGCAGCAGCAGCTGCTGCTGCTGCTTGCTGCGTAGAAGCAGCTGGGGCCCCACAGCAGGTCCCCCAAAGAGAGCGATGTTTCTCTTTGCCTTTTGGTTCCAAGTGCAAGTCACGGCGCTCCCGGGGTTGCGGTGTACGTACACCGCACAGCAACAGCAGCAACAACAGCCGCAGGAGAGCGCCGGGGGTCAGCAAGAAGAAAGCGAAGAGGCAGGGAGACAGCAGCAGCAGCCGCAGCGCGAGCAGCAGCAGCCGCAAGGCGAGCAGCAGCAGACCTAGCCACTCTTCTCAAACCAGTAGACACCGTAGCAGTAGCGGTAACAACCAAAGAAACAACAGTAGCAGCAGCAGCAGGAGCAGCAGACGGCCTTCCCTTTCTACAGAATGGCGTCGAGACCAGTCGCCAGTTTTTGTAGAGGGTCGCCACCACAGGGGGCGTTTCGCTGCTGCTGCTGCTGCTTCTGCAGCTGCTGCTGCTGCGCTCGGCGCGCTTCCGGGCTCCAGTGCAGCAGAGACGCCCCGTGCTGCAGGGGGGGCGGCCGCAGCAGAAGCAGAAGCAGCAGCAGCAAGAAGCTTTACCTTCGGCGCTCTGTCGCCGCAGGTGAAAACGACCGAAGTGGACAACAGCAGCGGAGAGGAGTCCAGCGAAGACTTGCTGCCATATGGACCGCAGCAGCAGCAGCAGCAGCAAAAGTGGGCGCACCACGTCCAAGAGGAGGAAATAGTGCTCTCCCCTACTTTGTCTTTAGCCTCGTTGCCATCCGACACGGACACTGTCGGCAGCAGCAGCGCGAGCAGCAGAGAGCGTGTAGACTATGGCAGCAACAGCAGCAGAAGCAGCAGCACCGCAAGGGGTGAAGCAGCAGGAATGCCACTCTCGGGAGCCGAGAGCCTCATTGTGCTGTCCACCACAGGAGACATATTCAGGGTGTCTACAGGAGGAGCATTTCAGTGGCAGAGGCACTTGGGGACTCCCCTAGCAGCAGCATACGTTGCGAACAACACCAGCAGCAGCAGCAGCAGCACGACCACCCGGAGCAGCAGCACAAAGGGAAGCACCGTCAGCCCTGGCAATACCAGCATGGAATCCACGGCCTTCTCTTCGCCCCCCATTGTACTGCCCCCAAAGAGCCCCGAGGCAGCTGCAAGGCCTCAAGGCCCGCTGCAGCACCCGCCAGACCACAGCACAATGCCCTTTGCTGCTGAAGGTACAGTGACTGCAACTAAAGCAGCTGCTGCAGCTTCTGCAGAGGGCTGCAGTGACTGTGTCGTGCTCGGGGCTGCAGAACCAGGGCGAATAGACAGCAATTTGATCCCTTCAGGGAGCGCAGCAGCAACAGCAGCAGCAGCAGAAACACCGCGGGTTGAGTCGCCCAGCCGCATGCGGCGGCTACTGCCCGGCTACGACGGTAGACTGTACTTGGTAGAACCTGACGGCACCATGGTGGTGAGTTTGTTGGGCGGGTCGTTTCGCTAGAAAGCTAGCTAGCTGTCTAACTAGCTAGGTGCCCTGGTAACTGTGCGGGTGTAGCTAGCTAGCTCCTTAGCTAGGTACCCTGGTAACAATGCAGTGGCTGTGTTTCCTGTGGCACCGTATTGGTGGCAGCAAAGTGTTGCGAGAGAATGTCCAGGGCAGGAGAGAAGACGTTTGAAGTTAAGAAATAAGTTGAGGGTGAAGTTTTAGGGTCTAGGGTTTTGTGTTTTGGGTCTTGGCGCTGCAGGCTCTTCAAGTGACAGTGCCTCAAGTGGTGAATCGGCTGCCTTTCCAGGCGCCTCTGTTTCCGGGGGTTTACTTTGTAGGTCGGAAGGAGGCCAGAATAAGAGCCCTAGATCTTGCAACTGTGAGTGTTTTGCTGCTCTTTGGCTAGCTCTCCTTGCCAAGGCAAATGCACTTTGCCTAGCTAGCTGTCTTGTATAGCTCTCGCAGCGCCTAATAAATTCTGCTAGCTAAAAGCAGCTAGCCAGGTCCCGAAGGGGATTCCTCCCGACAAGCTTGGCTAGCCGCTTCCTGTATAGCTAACTGGTGCCAATGTATGGCCGCTACACGACACGCGGGCTTTTATTATTGGTGCTGCTGTTGCTTCTGCTGCTGCTGCTGCCTTCTGTGTAGGGCCTGGATATAAAAGGGGAGCGCCTTGAGGCTTTGGGAAATGAATCGGGACAGACTGTGGATGCAGCAGATGTGCTGCCTGGGGCAGGAGGGGAGACAGGCGGGCGGCAGCAGTTGCTGCTGGCTCAAAGCGTCTGGCAGCTTTGGGCCGTCAGTGCTCAGACTCACGAAAGGCTGTAAGCAGAATGAGCAGCAGCAGCAGCAGCAGCAGCAGCAGCAGCTGGAAGAGTAGCGTTCTTATCTAGCGATCTATTCTCCGCCTTAGCAGCTGCAGCAGAGCAAGCAACCGAGTGGTGGCGTACTTGACCCGCTGCTGCAGCGACGCACAACGCTGAAGCTGCGCCAGGAACTGCTGCTGCTGCAGCAACTGGTTTACGTGGATCCTGCTGCTGTTTGTGTTGTTTGCTGCAGCTGGGGACTGTCGTGGGTAGATGTAACGGGGTTTGGAGGGTCCCCACAACTCGGCACCAGCGGCAAAGAAACACGGCTAGCTGAGACCTTGCGTGCATCTTTGAGGGCTGAGGGTGACTTGCTGTACATGCTGCAGCGCCACCCTTCGAGCGCTGCTCCTGCAGACGATCCAGACGCAGCAGCAGCTCCTTTGTTCCTCAAGTTCCCAGCCCCCATTGCGGCGGTCTTTGCTGTCACCTCGCCGCTGCAGCGGCAGCAGCAGCACACTGACATCCTCTGGCAGCGCCAAGAGCTCGACGCTCCAACTGCCTACACGCTGCAGTTCATTGCCCGGCAGCGGAGACCCACAGTGCGTGCTGCTGCTGCTGCTGCTGCTGCGGTAGATAACGTTTCCCACTGGCAGCCAGGGTCACTTACTGCAGCACGTGAGTCAGCATCGATGATGTTTTTGCTTTTATTGCCTTTGCAGGGCCTCCCTCTCCCACCAGATCCGTGGAGACAAGTAGCGACCTCGGCAACGGACAGCAGTGATGGAGCAGTTCCATTTTACATCTCGTCGCTGCTTCCGGCTCCGTTGCTGCTACCACCGCTGCAGCTGCCGGAGCAGCAGCAGATCCAGCAACAGCAGCAACTAGTGTCCCTACAGTACAAATACCTGCAAGACTTAGCGGGGTCGTCTGCGCTGCAGCGGCCACTGCAGTGGAACCCAACCGAGTGTCCATTAGATACGGCTGCAGCAGCAACAGCAGCAGCTGTTGCAGGAGCGTCACCGCTGCTGGGCAGAGCACCGCTGCCTCTAGAGGCCCCACCTGGCTGGCGTCCTTCTATTGAGGATACCCCCCATCAGTTGAGCAGCAGCACCACCAGCCGTGAGCAGCCCGTGAATGGAGCCTCCTCAGACGTCGAAGGAGGCACAACACCTTGGTGGCCTCATGCACAGCAGCAGCAGCAGCAGAGGCAGCAGCGGCAGCAACAGCAACAGCAGCAGCAACAACGGCTGCCGTTTGATCAGCCGCCGAGGCCTTTCAATCCCATTATGTCTCCTGTCCTGAGCATTCTCAGGCGGTGGGTGCAGCGCGTCTTCCACGCCGACATGGGGAAACAGCAGCAGCAGCCGCAGCAGCAGCAGCACGGACTCTTGTCTCCATTGCAGTTGCATCAACAGGCCTTGTGGCGTAAGCACCGCAACCGCATACAAAACCAACAGCAACAAGAAGAGGATCGGCAGCACGAAGAGCAGCAACAAGAGCAGCAGCAGCAGGAAGAAGACAATGGACTCACAGGCGCAGCAGGAACAAGCAGCATTTTTGTCTGGATCGGGTCAGTGTTTGCTGCTCTCTTTATTGCTCTCATATCACAGGCCAGGTTGGGGAGACAGACAATGCTGCACTCCTTCACACGGCGATGGCGACACCTACAGCGTTGGCTGAGACGGACTCTGCCGCAGCAGCTGCAGCAGCAGCAGCTATGGCACCAGCAACAGCAGCGTAGCAGCGGTAGCAGCAGCAGCAGCAGCACGAACTCCAGAGCTGCGCAGTTGCCGGAGCTGGATGCGCACGGGCCTGGCCACCTGGCAGCTGCAGGAACAGAAACTTCTGGAGCAGCTGCAGCAGCAGATTCCGGCGACGCCATTTGGAGCTGCCAAAGTAGCAGCAGCAGAAGGAGCAGCAGCAGCAGCAGCAACGCCACGTCTCGAGCTTCCGACAAAGAAAGAGACAAGGGGGCAGGGAGAGACCGCGAGAGAACCCAAAATGACTCTCTCACTGAGAAGTCCAATCTCCTCCGTGCAGCAGCACACGTGCGGAGGCGCCGCACCACAACCACAAGCAGCAGCAGCAGCAGCGCTGGCGAAGACGGGCGGGTGCAGCAGGAAAGAAAGCGCTCTAAGCATTTCCTGGACACCTCGATGGCTTCTCCAGCCTCCCCTGTTAATGCTGCACCGTGGCATAATGCTAGCGCTTTGCAGCAACAACAGCAGCTGCTGCAGGAGCAACTGCAGCTGCAGCAGATGCAGCAGCTGGCCAGTCCCTTGAGGAGGAGGGGCACTGTTGACGTCGGCGACAGCCCTAGATTCGGAGATTTCGGAGAAGCAGCAGACTTGTCTTTGGTGTCTCCTGCGCATCCTTTCGCAGCGGTTTCCTCTCCAGTGCCTCCTTTCCGAGCTGCAGCAGCAGAAACAGCAGCAGCAGCAGCAGCAGCTGCAGGAGACGCGTCGTTGCCGACCTCAGCTCGCTTCGGACGTGGAGCCATGGCAGAGGAGACGGGGGGCCCCTGGTGGTATAGGCCTTTGCCGCTCAGGGGCACTTCAGCAGGAGATGCCCCAGGTTTTAGGCGAGTGGGAAGGTCTTGTGCTTCACTGGAAGAAATATTGTTAAGTGCAGCTAGACAGAGACGCGCGTGGGTATTGGACGTAGGGGTATCGCCTCTAGCGCCCTTCCCGCTGCAGCAGCAGCAGCAGCAGCAGCAGAGAGGCAGCAGCGCGCAGGTGGAGTCTGTCGGCGTTTCAACTTCAGATGCCCCGCCCTCAGTTGCCTCGCCTGCTGCTGCCGGGTCAGCCGCTACTATTAGTTCTACGGGGGTCACTGGGGAGCCCTCGACACTGTCTCCGCCTACACCAGCACTTGCTCCTGCGCCCCCGCCGCCGCCGTCCCCGCAGCAGCAGGTGCAGCAGCAGCTGCAGCAGCAGCAGCAAGACCATGAGGAGCCCTCTGTGGAGGAGGTAGAGATAGTGATAGGGCCCCGTCTGGACACTGTAAGCCTTGAAGACGAGACAGAGGAATCCGACGGCTCCAGAGCTGTCTCTTTGTCTCCGCCTGTCTCTCCGGGCATCCCCGCCCGCTCGGCCCTTCTGAAGTTTTTGGAAAACGGGAAGTTTGCGAGAACTTTTAAAATTGAAAAGCTTGTCGGCAGAGGGGGATTTGGGACAGTGTACGAGGTGGGTTGCTTGGCGGGTGTTTAGTTTTCTGTGAATTGGAGCATCACACTGGTTGCCTCCTTGTTTGCATTTTGGGTCTACGCAGCCAGGCTCGTTTCTTTTATATCATTTTCTTTGTTATGCATCTGTGTTGTCGTGCGCCTGCTCGTCGTGCCTCTGAATGAGCTGTCGATATACCGTAGCCCTGAGACTCACACGCTTTCCTAGATATGCCATTTGCTTTCTAAACGCAAGTCCCATTCTTTTCCAATGATGCGCCGAGAGTCAAAAAATGCCATATTATGCAGCACATGCAAAATGCTGCTGCGAAAGTTCCACTCCATCTGTTCAAATCGCGCGTTTAGCTGCCTGCAATCTCTGCACGCTTTGTGAGCAACATGCAAGCGTGTATTATCAGATGTGTATTTATGCTTGCGCATGCATCTCTGCTTGCAAATCCACTTAAATATCTTTGAACAAGTTTATTTACACTGATCGGTTTAGTGGCTTTGGTAACCCTCAGGTGCGCCACCTTCTGGAGCCTGGCCACCCGATATATGCAGTCAAGCTCATTAGGCTGCAGCTGGCGAGCAGCGAAGACATATCACTGAGGCGGGACTTCCGAGAGGTGGCAGCAAACAGAGACCTCTACTCCAAGCATGTTGTGAGGTAAGGTGGTTTACGATTTGGCGTTGGCTGTGGGGCCCGCCACTGCTGCTTCTGCTGCAGTTGCTGCTTATAGGGATGACGCCCGTGTGCTGCCGCTCTTAGCCTCGTTTTGCTGCTGCTGCTGCTGCTGCTGCAGGTATTACACGTGGTGGTGCGAGGAGCCTCACTACTTGCCCATAGCGGAGGGGGAGAAAGGCAACGAAAGCAATCCTCAACAGCAGAAGCGGCAGCAGCGCGGCAGAAAGAAGAAAGTGGCATCAGCAGCAAAGAAAGACACCCACAGAAGAAGAAGACTGGCTCCTGGAGGGCGGCAGCCTGCGGAGGAGGGCCTTCGGGCTGCGCCTCCCTCCTGGAGAAACAGGAGAGGCACAGATGAGGGTGACGCAGTCTTGACTTCAGCCGTGAGTCCATGCGCTGCTGCTGCTGGTTCTGCTTTTGCTGCTAGCTCTCGCTGTTGTCTACATTTCGCCGTTGCGTTCTGTTCTCATTTGCTTCTGCAGAGAAAGATCCTGAGAGGGGCAGCGCTGGGCTCTCGCCGTTCGGGTTGTGTGTCTGAGGACGACTATGCGATTTCGCGAGGGCGGAAGACAGCAGCAGCTGCTGCAACCGCTGCAGCTGCTGCAGCAGCAGCTGCTGCTGGCATCGCTCTCCAGAAAGACGTTGCAGGGGACGAAAGCGACACGGAAGACAACGCTCAGTGCACGCATGTTGCTCGGGAGAGCGGGAGGATGAACAGTTGCATGCGGCTGAAGCAGCAGCGGCTGCTTGAGGCGAACCCGAAGCTTCGCCGCATCGCCTCGAGTCCTGCGGTGTCTTGCAGAGGCAGAGACCTCGGTGGAGGCATTTTGGAGCCGCCGGCGCAGCAGCACCAGCAGCAGCCAGGCCGCCCCTTCGCGCATTTAGAAGGGACTCGCAGGGACTTGTTTTGGGCCATGCGGCTGCCTCCGCTGCCTGCTGTTCTCCGAGGCTTCGCGCGGCCCCGGCAGGCTTCTCTGAGCGACGCTGAGGGTTTGCTGCCGCAGCAGCAGTCGCCCCTGGGCGTTGGCTGGCGGCTGCAGCACCGCAGCCTGACTGCGGAGACAGAGCCGAGCTGCTTCGGGAGTTCTTCTGCTTCCGCCTGTCTGGCCTGGAGAGGAAAGGGCGGGTCGTGGAGGCTGCCGGCGCTGCCTGCTGCTGCTGTGGCCGCTGGCCTGAGCTCTCCTGACAGGCTTTCTTTGCACAGGAGGAGACAGAGCGAAAGCGAATGCAGCACCCGGTCAGTGCAGCGAATTGAGGCGGCTCTGTGGCGCGGCGACGCGGCTGACGGCGCCTGGAGGCTTAGGAGAAGGCGCCGCGCTGCTGCTGCTGCTGCTGCCGCCGCTGCTGCCGCTGCTGCTGCTGCTGCTGCTGCCGGCAGTAGGCACCATTCCAGCGGCAAAAGCCCAGAAAATGGACTAAAGGGACAGTTGCGCCGGGAATCGGACGCTAGTAAAGACAGCGCAGGCCTGCTCTCCGTGGTGCAGCAGCAACAGCAGCAACAGCCGAAGCGGAAGGGAACCCAACAGCAAACAGACGTGTGGAGCGATGATGAGCTGTGGTCAGCATACCTAAGTGATGACGAGAGGGACCTTATTGTTTTTCAAGACGAAGTGTCCGATATAGAAGTGGAAGCAGCTGAAGAAGCAGAGTCTCCACAGGAACTGCAACAAGAGAAGCAGCAGCACTTGCTGCTACAAGAGAAACAGCAGCAGCAGCAGCAGCAGCAGCTCATGCACCAGCTTGTTGCTGCACGCGATGAAGAACGCAACCCACAAAAGGAGAAGAGAGGCGGCAAAGGCAAGCAGCAGCAGCAACAGCATCAGCAATTGGGGCCCCTATACCCGGTTGTTCTTTTGATTCAAATGGAGATGTGCACAGGTCTTACTCTGAGGGCGTGGCTGGACAGGTCAGTGTCTCCTGTAGTCACTATGGCTGCTGATTCTCGTGGTGCTGCTGTTGCTGCTGCTGTAACTCGTCGCCTCTGTTGCAGACTAATTACTTCTTTTTGCCTTGCATCAGGCGCTCTTGCCGCTGTTGCGGGGCCTTTTGCTTGTCCTTGGGCGCTTCCGCTGCTGCTGCTGCAGTCTTCGCTGCCATTGCAGCAGGTTGGTGGGCGTGTTTATTCTGTGCTTTTGTGTGTTGCAGGTCAGAGAGACTCTCTTTTGATGATGACAGCGCTTTGGGCCGTTGGCCTCTGTTGGAGTTGGATTTATTTAAACAGCTGATTAAAGGTATTCGAGACATACACGAAAGGTGAGGTCCTACATTTTGACTAGAGCTGCTGACCCTCTAGATTACTCGTCTCTCTGTTATTATCCTTTACAGGGCATGCGCTGCTTGCATGCATTTTCTGTGTGCATGCTGTTGTTGCTGCTGTCGAGTGCATGCAGAGGCATAGTGCACCGGGACCTGAAGCCGGAAAACATCTTTGTGGACCCTCAGTCGCACGTTTTGAAGATAGTTGATTTTGGGCTTGCTAAGTTTATTCAGAGAAAGACAGCTACACAAATCGCAGAGGGTGCTGACCCTGCTGCTACTGGTGCCGTCGTTGCTGCTGCTGGGGACTCAACTGTCTCACTTGATCAGCAGCAGCGCTCGATGCTGCACGCCGCGGCGTCTTCGCAAGAGAAGGGCCTGACGAAGCCTATTTTCTTTGACATGGTGGGGTTGTTGTGCTGTCAGCAGTTTGTTTTGCATTCGTTCATTCTCTATGCTCAACACAGTGCATTGAAGTGTTCAGAAGAAGTGCATGCAAGTGAAGATACGTAATAGAAACCTGTACGCTATACAGTCTCCCTTGTATGTTCTTCTTCACTGATCGCGTATACAGTTTCTCTACCGTGTAACCAGGCATGCTTATTTACTATGCATATTATTCATTTTGTGCACCTTGCTGCACTTGGTCGTTTATGGGAAGATACAGTCGCTCACACATACTTAGTTTTGACGCGCGTTTATATGCTAGCGCTTGCCAAAGTACAACAGCAGCTGGATGCCCCTTGGCATGGTGCGCATGCGTAGTGCAATAGTTATGCAAAACAAGATTAGACATTGTATAGACTACTGGGGTTATGCGTATGCGGTGCATATTGACAGGAGTAATGTGCACATACACGCAGATGCACAGCCCCACAAGCAGCGCTCACGTATGCATACATGTGTGCACCTCTGTTTTTTTTAACTTACATGTGAGTTTACTGGATGTTTACTTTTGCGTTCAGTCGTACAAAGGGGAAGTGATTGGTACCCCTGCGTACGCGGCCCCTGAGGGTGGCGGTCTATGCGACGAGAAGGCCGACATATACTCCAGCGCCTTGATTTTGCTCGAACTTTTGTGTCCCCGTTTTACAACAGTGATGGAAAGAGTAAAGACGCTCGAAGCTTTTAAACGATACTACCATGTAAGTGTGCAACACACCCACATCAACGCATTCTTGCACACGGGAAATTCTGCATGCCGGCTTTGAGGAGCTGTCTTTCATTTATTTGTTTGTGTTGACATCAGTGCAACTATCCTTGGGTTTTCTCTATGGCTTATTTCTGCAGTTTGCTGGTTCTGCCTCCATTTCCTTCCTGTTCCCGGGATGTTTATGTCTCTTTCAGCGTGGGAACTGCCCCTGTTAGGGCTCATTTTGCTGCCTCGTTTTGTTGCTGCTGCTGCGCAGGTGCCGCAGCACGTGGCTACTTATCAAGGGTGCTGGAGGGACTTAATGCTTGAAATGGCTCGACCAGACCCACAAGATAGGCCTTCAGCCAACGAGGTGAGCTCACAAGGAACTGACAAAGCGGGTAGCGGGAAAACCTAGACAGAAAAGTTGAGATGTAGGCTTGAATGAGTAGAGGAAGACTCATACAGAGGCAGGCACAAATAGGCAGGGACGCAGGGCTTTCAGCAGAACAGTTTCAAGCCAGAAAGGAACAGAAACAGGCGAAGAAACGCGCGTGCAAACAGGATTAAGGTAGACACGAACGAGTTAAGAGGGATTTCTCTGGTATACATGAGGTTATAAAGGCAAAGCAAGGAAAGGAGGAGGAGTGGGTGGAGACGTTTCGCTTGGCGTTCCAGATTGTAGGGTTTAGGGTTTGTTCTTGTCCGTGTCAGGTGCTGAGGCGGGTTAAGAACCTCTTGGCCAGCGCAGCAGACGGGGGCGGCGAGCACACATCGTCTTCAGCCTTCATAGGAGACAGAGGCACCACCAGCAGCACCACCACAACCCCAGCCCTTAGGCCCCCCAGCAGCACTTCTCTGTCGCTATCCCAGGCCCAAGCCCCTCACAGTCTGGACCCTGTGGGTGCAGCAACGGTGCCGACTGCGCTTGTGGCAGCAGCTGCAGCATCAACACCGACAGCAGCCCTGGAAGAGGCAGCAGCTCAGCCTGCCAATGAAACGCGGCAGCAGACCCAGGAGACACTTCCTACGAAAGACAGCGGGAGTGGGGTTGCCTTGCTGCTGCCTTCGGCAGCAGCAGGTGGAAAGCAGTAGTTGCTTCAAAAAGAGCAGAAGCAATCGCAGCTGCTCCTGCTGCAGCAGCAAACAGGTTGGTCGGCGAGGCAGGGGCGTCATATAGGGACTCTGCCGTTTGAAGTTCTAGTTGCTGCGGCTGCAGCAGCAGCAATTCTAGCAGCGCGTGTTGCTGCTGCAACAGCGGCAGCAACAGCACATTTTTGCCACGAGTGCAGCGGGAGTAGCTGCTGCCTGTGTGCGTTATCAGCAGCATTCCAAGTTGCAGCTGCTGCAGCAGCCGCAGCGGTAGCAGCAGCTGACGCAGCAGGAACGCCTCTCGCTGCATTTGTCTGCATACTGCAGAATGCGCGTGGGGCTACTGATGCTGCTGCTGCAGTGTTTGTTTGTGTCGATGTAGCAGCTATTTGTGTCCCTTTAGTTTAAGGGGGGAAGATTTCCTCTTTTCTTTCAACTGTTGTTTCATTGCCAGTTTAGGCACACTGCGATACTCGCTTGCGTTGAGGACCGCAAATTTCAGCAGCAGCAGTAGCAGCAGCAGCAGCAGCAAGCAGCACTCGAATACACGTGCGGCTTTCCCGTAAGAGCATGGACAAATAGCACAGGTAGCATATACTCTGGTAGGCGGCACTATTGTATCTATGTAGCACCCTTCTGAAGCCGGATCTGCAACAGCAGCTCGCGCAGGCACACAAGTTTTGTGGAGGGAAGTTCATCTTAGCATAAGCTGTTTTGCTGCTGCTGTGTGGGTTGCAGAAAGGCATCTCTTCATGAGAGAAGCCCCAAAGTGCAGCAGCACTAATTTTCGCTAGTCGTCAGTCTCCGACGGTAAATACTACTAATTACGTACTGAGGAGCTCAAGCAGACATGTCTATGGACAGTCACGTGAGGGATCTGCATACATGGGTGGAAATGTATATATACGTGTATATTTATACCCATGTATGCAAGAATGCCTACTGCCTATGCGGGTGTGTAGGTGCTTGGGAGTACGTTTGTGTTAACGCGCACACCAATATAAGCGCGTAGTTTATGTGCAGGTGCTTTCTTTGACATACGGGAACGTATGTGTGTTACCATAGTTCTTCACAAGGCCCCTTTAGGCTGCGTCAAAGCCTAGTAACGCTCCTGGAAGGCAGCTCAGCCTTTACGGCCGTAGGGCGTGGGAGCCTGTATTGCTTGTATGATAGCAGGCGATGGGTAAACACCGAAAGCAGTTTAATGCTACTTCAAGCTTCTACGCCGGCAGCTAGGGAAGACTTAAGTCTTTGCAGAGGGCAGTTAAGGCGTAGGGCCTTCTTGTTCTCGAAGTTTATGAAAGGCGGGTGAAAAGGAAATACCAAAAACAGATACCATAAGAAAACCTGCCTAGTTCCAAAATGACTGTTTTGTGTGCGGGTGCCGGCCAGTAAGTGTGTGTGGCAAACTGGAGTACCAGTTTCATGTTAATTCCTCCCTTGCAGTTTCCTGTGCTACTGGGGCCTACATCCCATAGAGCCTTTACTTAGAGCCCAGCACCGCCGTTTGTGCCCGCCAACTTGCTCAGTTTCATTCATTTATCAGTTCTAGAAGGCGGCCAGACGCTAAAGAAGAGCTCAAGCCTGCAGCTAGCTGCAGGCTTTGCTTGTAGTGGCCACGATTTCATACACACGCCACATATATGCACAGAATATGCACTCATTTGTATCACATCCACACACATTGAATTCGTGGAGTTTTATGAGAAAGCCAGATCAACTCGCGCCCTTTGCAGCTGCAGAAAGGCCCCAAGCCAATCTGGATGGCTGTGCGGTTAATCACAGGAGACACAGGCATGTAAAGGCGTAGGCTCCTGCAGCATAGCCCCCCTTGCTAATTTCCTTCGTGACTGCCGTTAATTTTCGTTTTCTCAAGCACCAGATTAAACGTACAGATTGGCCCTCTAAGCCGCCGCCAGAAACAGCAGCAGCAGCAGCACCGCCGCCAACGGCTACAGCTGGCATCTGCTGCATCCGCTAGAGTGCCTTGCTGCGACGCCCAACTGCGGCCTTACTGGGTCCATGTCTCACAATCAGCAGCGGCACAGCAAAATAAAGACCACTAAGTTTACACTATTCGAGCTATAGTAGTCAAAGAAAAGTCGATAAATGCCTATTGATGCAGTTTACTGTTGCGGAACAACACAGAAACCTTCGTGTAACGGCGGCGGCGGGGCGCTTGGTCGAGTGACTGCAGCAACAGCACCGTTAGCAGCAGCAGCAGTGGAAACAGCAAGCCTTCTCACCTTTTCCAATTTGTGTATGTGTATGCGGCTTTGATATATTAGATAAAAAAGACAGGGAAGCTCATTCCGGCCTTCGTCGTGGATCAGCTGCTGCAGCTGCCGCTGCACAGCAGCTGCTACTGCTGTGGCGGCGGCGGCAGCGCTGCTGCTGCTCCAGTGCTACGTGCTGCAGGAGTCTTGCGTCCACATTAGCAACATCTCCTCGGGGGGCCCCCACTTGTCCCTATTTCCTTCCTGAGTCGCTCCTGAAGGGCCGGAGGCAAACAGCTGTGAAGAAGCGGCTGAAAGGGGGAGGCCCCGAGTGCAGCAGCAGCAGCAGCAGCAGCGGCAACTGCAATACCAGCAGCGGCTACAACAGCGGAGAAGGGGCCCTCTTTTTTCCTGTTTTTGCAACTCTGGCTTTTAATTTCTTCCGAGACACCTTCACTTGAAGAGACGCACGGAACTGGACCCCAACCCGCCCTGTTCTTGCTGCAGTTGCTGCTGCTGCTTTTGATGCAGCAGTGGCATTCCGTTGCAGCAACAGCAACAGACCTCTGCTCGTTTCGCCGTACAGAAACACTCACAACTGCGGCACTTCACCTGCTGCACGTGCAGCAACTCCGAAACATCTGGGGGGGCAGCTGCAGCAACACGAGCACTTGAAAGCAGCAACAGCAGCATTTGGCAGCAGCAACAGCAGCAGTAGTTGACGGGAAATCGTACACCGACTGCTTCCAGGCCCGCAGGGCCTCGCCCTCTGCTTGCGCATCGTGGTTCTTGCTCCTGCGGTGACAGCAGCGACAGTGGTAGAGCAGCAGTAGCATCAACCGGCTTCACAGGAGCAGCATGGAGTCTCCGTCACTTCCTTTTTCTCTGGATGTGGTGGGGTTGTTCCAGGGCGTGCACCAGGACCAGCAGCAACCAGCTATCCCTTCTTAATCGTGCTGCAGATGCGCTGCCCTTGGTTTACTCTCTCAGCTGCTTGTACACCTCAGTGTCATTCCCGCAGCAGCGGCAGCATCAAGCGCAGCAGCAGCAGCAGATCTAGCTGCTAAGCTGACTTAGCAGCAGCTGCTGCCTGACTGCCGAAAGCTTGGACAGAACGTGAGTCTCCTCTCTCTCCCAGCCCGACACCTGGTGCTGCTGCTGCAGCCGCTGCTGCTTCTGCTTGCGCGGGAGCTGCTCGACCTCTGGCAGCAGCACCAGCACAAGCAACAGCATGCAGCCCACAGCGGCTGCTGCTGATGCAGCTGAGGCGCTGGCAGCCGCGGCAGACCGGGGCAGTAGCCGCAACAGCTCTCTCAGCACTTGCTGCAGCACCGGCACCCCACGTCTCAACGGCTACAACAGCAACCGAAACAGCAGCAGCAGCACCGACTGCACAAGGCCTTTCCAAATGCTGGGCGCCCCTTCCGATGAAGATGTACTCGCTGCAGGGAACAGCAGCAACCTGCAGCAGCAGGTGCAGCAGCAGCAGCATGACGACGGCTGTGAGTGCTGCGCTTGCTGCTCCAGATCAGGTTTGAGTGGAAAGGGGAGCGCAGATGCTGAAGCAGCAGCCACAATGGCTGCTGCTGCTGCTGCTGCTGCACCAAAGGCCCTCTTCGTGGGGGGCATGACGGCGAGGCACCTTGGCACAGTGGTATTTATGCGTCATGGGGCGAGGGCCCCGAAAGTCCGTGTATCAGCTACGTCTGAGGATGCTGCTCCAGTTGAAGCTGCTGCTGCTGCTGCTTCGGATGGGGAGGCAGCTGCAGCAGGGCCAAACGACGACAAGAGGAGCAGCAGCAGCGACGCGGGCACAGCGATTCGAGGCTCAGAGTCCGCTGCTGCAGAACATAAACTTGCGGACTCTGCAGAAGCTGCAGTTGCTGCAGAAGACAGCAAGCACGAGGCCGAAAAGGGGGACACCATCTGGCCCTTTGGGGGTGTCCCCGGCTCCCTCACAGAAGCTGGCTGGAGGCAGTCAGTTGCGGTGGGAATGGACATTCGCCGCGCCCAGGCCCACCTCCGCCGCTGCTGCGAATGTGCAGCAGCAGCAGCGGCAGCAGGTACTGCTGCTGCTCCTGGAGATGCGACGGCTGAAGTGCAGCAAGCAGCTGGTGCTGCAGCCGCAGTAGGACCCTGTCGTGGCATCCCCGTCATGGTGTGTAGTACGGAGTCCATCCGCTGCATTCAAACAGCCCAAGCTGTTATCACAGGTCTCCAGATGGCCATGCAGCCCCAACAGCAGCAGCAGCAGCAGCAGCAGGTTCAGCAAGGGGGCGCAGCGGCAGAATCGCAGGACTGTCTGCAAGTGGACTTGAAGAGCTGCCTATACACCGCGCCAGCGGGGTCCCCTGCATCTTTGGCTTTGAAGGCCAAAAGCCCCCTCGTAAAGCTGCACAAACGCAGAGCCCTCTGCAGCAGCAGCAGCTACGCTGCTGCATGCACCGCGCTGGAGGGGGAGGCGGCGCTGCTGCGGGAGCTTACCGGCTGGAGCAGCAAAGAGGGGCTACGGGTGATGAAGAAATTTGTGTCTTTGTATGGTGCCTACATCTACCACGGCATTCCGTTGCCGCTGTTGAAGGGGGGCCACGCGAGCCTGGCGCTGCTGCACAACAGCAGCAGCGGCAGCGGCAGCAACGGACACAGCAACGCAGGCCCTCCCAGCGGCAGCAGCAGCAACAGCAGCAGCTGCAGCAGCTCAAGGAGCAGCACAACTAGCTACATGTCGAACGCCACGGTCCTCCCGGGCCCCACCGACGCCGAAGAAGCAGCTGCTGCCCTTGTTGAGGCTGCTGCAGCAGCAGAAACGGTAGATCTACGTGGGGAAGGTGCAGCAACACCGACGGCGGCACCAGGTCCCATTCGCCACCCAGCAGCAACGGAATCCGCAGCAGACGAAGTGGCCCACGCAGCAGCAACTGAACCCGCAGCCGAAGCCGAGCCCGCAGCAGCAGCAGCAGCGGCAGCGGCAGCACCATGCAGTGAGGAGGAAACAAAGGAGATTACACCTGAAGAATTTCTGGATGCAGTGTTTCGCGGGGCTAATTTGGTGGCTCGGCTGCAGTATGCTGAAGAGGAAGAGGTGGGCTGGAGGGCAGGGGGCATCAGTCTGATGGAGATCACTGCCAGACTTGAGCGCATGGCGGACGCTGCTGCTGCTGCAGCGGCAGCAGCAGCGCGGGAAACCAAAAGTCCTGCTTCCGGTGGTGGAGCAGCCACAGAAGCTGCAGCAGGTGAAGAAGCTGAGGGGTTGTGCATCTTCGTCACCCACCAGTCGGCGCTCCTAGCGCTGCAGGCGGCTCTGGGGGTGTCTGCTGCTCATATGCAAATACCTCAGTTTGGCTGCTACCTCCAGGCGGAGCTGCTGCAGGTAGATGCGCCCCTTAGTTTCGAACCTACTGATTGCGGCAGCAGCAGCAGCAGCAGCAGAATAGTTGGCGACGAGAGCAACAGGTGCACGGAAGAAGACCAACAGGATAATGCAGCAAAGACAGATGGGGAGCTTGCAGCTGCCCAACAAGAAGCAGCCCCAGCAACAACAGCGGAGACCGAACCAGCAGCAGTTTTAGCCATAACATCAGCAGCAGCAGAAGCATCAGGAACTGGTGCTGCAGCGCCAGTGCCCTTGCCAAATAATTCGACAATTGATTCTTCTGATGGTGCAAATGTGGCATGTTTGAGCACCTGCGGCAGCGGTTGCTGCTGCGCATGCTGTAGCGGGGCCATGGGGTGTACAGACACCTCAGCAGGTGAGGAGACACAGGAAGGGGCCCTCTACCAGGCCAAAGCTTCCCCAGTACCTGTGGCGAAGCGGCTTTTGTCACTCATGTCTCCTTTGCCAAAGACCACCCGAAGGAAACATCCAAATGTGGTGGTGCGCTGGTGCATAGACGGCGACCAACCGCTGGCGCTTCCTGAGGTGCTTCGCTGGCGAGCCATTAGCAGCAGCAGCAGCAGCAACTGTGACGACAGCAGCAACTGCAACATAGTGCTGCTGGATGACTTACTGCTTTTTTTGGACAGCCGCTGGGAACGGTTTGGACCACCGATCCCACCAGAGCCTCTTCTTGCACTCAGAGTTGCGGAAATGACCGAGGAGCTGGAGCAGCAACAACTGCTGCAGCAGCAGCAGCAACAGCAGCAGCACGGAGAGCAGTGCAACTTGGCAGAAACGCCTCTGGCGGAAAATCGCGTCAGGCGCTACAGGCTGGCTTTATCCGAGCCTTCTTGTTCTTCGACAGCAGCAGCAGCAGCAGTCTCTGCTGCAGCAACTGTCACTGCGGCAGCAGCAACATCGCCTGCGACAGATGACGGGGGAATAAGGACGCCGTTTAAGCATAGTAACCAGCGCCGGGTAATTTAATTAGAGTTGCAGCAACATCGGCAGCCGGTGCAGCAGCAGCATAGAGAGCCGCGGTCTCTGTCTTCTCTCACCTGTACGTACAGCCCGTCCTTCAAGAAGACCGGGCGCGAGAGTCTGCTGCCCTTGCGGTCTTTGCGTTGCTGTTTTAGAGTGTCTCCTTTCTGCTTGCCTAAGAGGAGGAGGCTTTCTCTTGGGCGGAGCGCAGCAGCAAGCTGCTGCTGCACTAGCAGCTGCATATTCTGCAGTGCTGTGTGGGGACAGCTACTAAATTGTGCACCATGGGCTAGCGTGTCTGAGAGACCACAGCGACGTGTGTTGCTGGAGCAGCTGGAGCGGCAGCAGCGGCTGTAGCTGCAGCTGCTTGGACCCCCCAAAGCAGGAGGCAAACAAAGAGAAGCATGTGTTCTACAACAGCAGCAACGGCGGCAGCAGCGACTGCTGCTGCTGCTGCATCAGCTTTTAACTATAGAACCAGCTACGGCTGCTGCAGCTGCAGCTGCAAATGAATGTTTAGTGTCTACTTTATGTTTCCTGATGTAATACTCTGGACACGTGAGAATGCGTCGAATCTATTGTAGAGACAGAGAAAACAGTGACACGGCCGAACACAGCTTCTCAGTTCACCAAAAGACGCAAACACAAAAGCAGCAAGCTGCTGAAGCAGCAGAAGCACAGTGAAAGAAAGGTCAAAAGAAAACAGGCATGAAGGCAGGGGAGAAAGACGCATAAGCGCAAGCAGTAGCGAGATAGCTGGACAGGTGACGAGATGCAATTGTGCAGTACAGAAACCGATAAAAAGATTTAGCCAGGGGGTTAAGTGTAAAGAGAGGTGGGGAACGCACGTTTATGGAGTTGGAGAGAAGAGAGAATGATGCAAGATGGCGCGGAGAAGTCGAACTGGAAATGATGAATAGCGAGAAAGGTCCAAAGCCTACAGTTGGCGAGCACGGGCAAATGCATGGAGGCACAAACACTTGTCGTGACGCTTTCTTGAAAGAATGCCGAGAAGGGCTGAAGACATCGAGCCACGTCACCTTCACCCTGGCACAGACACTGAACACCAAAGGCTCGTGTAGCTCGTATCAGGGCCTCTTCGCCCCAGCGTAAAGAGGAAGCGGCGGGGGCGGAAACGGGAAAAGGCGTCCAGATCTTTTGAATTTGCGTTTGTTGAAGAATAAACTTTCGTAAAAAATAGCCAGTAATGCAGCCACAGAGCGAATGCAACATAGCTCGGAGCTATCTGGAGCGCACCATTGTAACCCACGAAGGCTGCGGCTTGTGGTGTCTACGAAAAAAAACGTAAAGCACTTCTTTCTTTCGCGCTGCATGACTGGTAATAAGAAGAGCCAAAGTTGATATTACAGGGAAATGGCACAGGAACGTTTAGAACTGGGCCGGGCGAAACGCACTGGCATTTGCTGCAGCGATGCAGAACGTTGAGTTTCCTTACTGAGAAACAGCTTAAATCGCGCATTTGAGCCCTTTGTTATAACTTGAGCTATACCAGGGCTTAAAGATAACGTGGAATGTCCGCGAGGTACTCTTGAATGATTTTCGAGTCGGAGTTGCTCATCAGGACCGAGGCCTTGTCCACAAGTCCTCTCGTTACAGTGCCTTGCTAGCTGTCGGCCGTCCCTATGCAGTAGTTTAGTGGGCCACGGAAGGCAGTTGTAATGGGAGACTCTTTAGTAGAAGATGCTCGAAGTTCTATGGATCTAGCCTCATTGCATGCTGCATTTAGAAATTTTCAGGGCTTCTTGGTGCCTTAATTTTGAGCCTGCTATCACATATGTATCACCAAAAATTAATTTAATAAACTAAGGTTAGACCCAGAGATCAAGCACTAAACTGCACAGGAAGATTGTGGCTTCTGTACATCCTTGGATGCCCACCAGGCTAGCATCACTTTGCTGCCAAAAAGACACTTTAACTTCTCCACTACTGTCTATAAGGCCTTAGAGATTCAAAAAAATTAAAGAGAGAAGGTTAAGTGCTAGGTCGGAGCAATGGATGTCTTGAGGGGTTCTTCGTTCACCGGCCCACGCAGCAAGCAATAAGGATCATCTCCTTTTCCGCCTTCCGTGGCATCTTTCTAGTCGCAAGAAAAACGTATTTTTTATGCGAAATCTAACATGCATCAGTGAAGGGCAAGAATACCCTTATATGGAGCCTATTGCCACAGCGCACCCCACGGGGAGTCTGTCCAGCAAAAACGGTATAACCAGCAAGGGCCCCACACGGTCAAGAAGAAGTAAAAGAAGGCAAGACTATTTTGTAAACAGAATAAAGGCCCCTAATCAGTATTTTTAATAGCCCATTGGAGTTTCCTAGGGTCTCAAATAGAAGCCCCTATGACCATCCCGCGGGCCCGATGGACCTGGACCGTGCGAGCCATTGCATTTTTCAACGTTAATCTTACTCTTCCGCGACTCTCGAGTGGTCACCTTTTATTCGAACCATTCGCTTACCGTATAAGTCTCACAGTAGTGAGGTTTATGGTTGGCGCCAAGTTTGGAGGGTCCGACCAGGTCACCGTTCATCAGCCCACAAGCAGACACAACAACTCACAGTCATGCCCCCGCTAGGTGCACCTTGTTTGTGAGTCTGGCGTCAGAATTATCTCAAGACAATAATGAAATGTTTCTGGACACATCTGACACCCTGCCTCCACTGACCCCCATGGCATCGACAGGGGAGGAGCAGTCGCCAGCCGTACTGGTCACTGCCAACTTGGGTCCCCAAAAGACCCAGCATCGCCCCTCTGTTGGCCGTGTAAACCGCCTGCGTCATGGTTCTGGGCAAAGCGTGGTGTCTCAGCCTTCAAGCGGCCTCGGGAACCCAGCTCTGTCAAGCCTTGTACATTGGTCAGCTCTGCTGTCTGTGCTGGCGGTTGTGGTGGTGACTCTCGGCTGCTATCGTCGCTTCTCCCCGCACGCAGAGCCGCAAAGGGGGATCCGGAGACTGGCAAACTGGGGAGGCAGCTGGGGCCATGGGAGGTCCGCACTCACTGGGATTCGGTGGGCCCATGGTCCCGATGATGACCCGGAGCTCTCAGCCGTCCTCGAGATGTGTTTGGACATGGAAGAAGAGAATCATGGGCTGCTCCCGCTACATTCTACTTTTCTGCCACAGTATCGTGACGATGATTTGGCGAGACAGCGAGTGGCGCCGGCGACTCACCTCACCCCAGAGGTAGAGACCGTAGAAGCGGCGACTTACTTTAACCCAGATATGCAGGCCGAACAGCTGTTCCACGGTGTCGGCGCAACTGGACCCAGTAACTTGAGCAAGCTCGGGGAGTCATTCCAGCATAGCCAGCTCCTGCCTACATACATGCAACAGCCCGGCTGGCTGGCCGAAACCAGCCAACTGCACAAGCCCCACCAGTATGGCGAGCAGAGCGAAGCCGACCAGTTCTATGAACTTGACGACCTGAAGGGGCCCATCGAGCTTAGTCAAAATAATGAGGTGAAACGGCCTGGCGAGCTGAGTGAGCGCATCCAACTGCAACTGCTTTATGATTTGACCGAGCCGAGCCTCTTTGAAAAACCCATGGATTTAAACATCTCCAATGAGCCCACTTATATGACCAATGAGGGAAACTCGAACGAGCTCCGCAAGTGGAACACGCCTAGCCATTTGCAGCAATTCAGCCAGATAAGCCATTCTGGCCAAGTGAATGATCCCAATCAACAGGAACAGCTCAGCGGACCTATCGAGCTGACCCGCCACAGTCAGCTGCGCCCGCCAAGGCCGACAGTCCAGCCCGGCCAACCCAACCATATGTACCAAAACAGTTTGAAACGCTTGCCTAACAGTTATCCCTGCCATTCCACCGACCCAACCTTACAAAGCCAGGAGGCGGAGCCGCCCTACGAGCAGCTGGGGACCAGTCAGCTGCGGCAGCCCAGCAATTTGAATCAGCCCGGCCAGGACAGTCATTGTGACCAGCCCAGGCAGCCGGCGTCACAAAGACAAGCGTACGAGCAACGCGAGTTTGAACATGTTGCCCAGCTGGGTTATTTTAACCAGCAGGAAGGGCCCTGCCAGACGCCCCAGGCCAGCCCGCCGAAACAGCCCAATCTGCTGCACTCGCAAAGTCCAGCAAGCCAGCCTGGCCAGCCCACCCAGCTCAGTATGACCGAAGATTCAGAGCAGCCCATCTCGCTCACGCAGAAGAGCCCATCGCAGCCCCTTAACTTGAGCCGGTCCGTTGACGCCCACCATACCGACCAGCCCAAAGGGACCCACTACCCCGGCAGAACCAGCCAGCCGAGCCCACCCACGCAGGGGCACAAGCAGAATCAACTTAAACATCCCGGCGAGCGAAGTTGTTCAGATCAGGAGAAAGAATTCATCCAGGTGCACCAGGCTAGCCCGCTGGTACAGCCCAATCACCTGCACTCTCCAAGTCAAGCAAGCCGGCCTGGCCAACCCATCCCCCACAAAGAGACCAATGAGATACACCAGCCCACTTCGCCCATACGGGCAACCCTATCAATCCAAGCGCAGCAGCCTTATCAGTTGAGAATGCCCGGCGAGGCCCAGCATCCTCATGTACCCACATGGCCGGGCCCGCTCACAAAAGTGCACTGTCCTAGCCATTTGAGCAATCCCCGCCTGCCAAATCATCCTCCCGATCAGGAACAACCCAACGAGGCGCGCTCGCCAAGCCGTTTGATCCGGTCTAGCGAGTTTAGTAATTCCCTTGTGCCATCGTACTCTCTCGAGGGTTCGTTTCTTGGGTTACTGCAACGCTCCCCCGTGGACACCGAAGCGGGGGACTTCGACGTGCCCACTTGGCTCGATCCAGGTAAAAACAGGTATAAGGGTTTTTTCGGAGAATCTGGATCTCCATTGCCTGCCCCTAGCGACCGCCCAGCTACAGTGGTGAACTCACGGACAGTTTGCAGCTCAAAATTTTCAGCCGTACCAGCGGTTGATGATCCAGAGCAGGCTCTGCGGAACGTTGTCGTCGTCACTGCGCCTTCTGTGGATCCCGTTGCTAGCAACAATCCTCAAAAAGACAGCCCTGAGGAGGCTGAAACCTCAAGCAAGAAAACGCCAAGGTCCAGAGCTCGAAAGCATCGATGGCAGTTCCACGAGTACCAACATTCGGGCCCTTCATTCACGGGACTGAAGCGGAGACGGCCGCGAGGCACAGGCCAAAAGGCCCGTGCCCGCGTCCCTGTAGAGCTGCCTTCGAAGGAAAAGGTGAGTGAGGCTCCCCCTCGAAAAAGCTCCGGTTCAGAGGAAAACCTGGGGGAGCAACCGACGAAAAAGGCAAAACAAAGCAACGACAAAGAAGACGAAGACGGGGATGTCCTTTTACCATTGAACTCTGTACAATGCGTCGTTGTCGATCCCCCTGAAATCCGCAGCACGCAACCAGATGGTGCGGTGAGCCAGCCGACGGAGGAGAGGCCAAGCTGCCCAGCACCGGCCGACAGCGTCCCTGCAATGGGAAGCACACTCTTTAGATGGAATTCTCTAGAATGGGAGGAAGACGAGGAGGATGATTTTCTAAGGAACCACCCGTTTTTCAGGCTTCCGAGACTGCAACCAGGGGCGAAGGTGCAGCAGTTTTGTGTGACTAGTGCGTTTGCCTTCCCCAACATGGTCAGGCACCCATCCCAAACACTTGGGTACATGCGCACTGCGTTGGCGGGCGACACCCTTGGGGAGACGGAGGCCAACGGAGTTGTGCTTGCGGCACAGCGGGCCGTGAGTCATCTGTTCCACTTCCATCAGGGAGGAGTCCCGGAAGAACGCGTTGCCAACGCAGTGTTTGCACTCGCACACCGTTTCCTTATTCTAGACTCACTACTCTGCGCGATTGAGGTGTTGGGGCCCGCCATGGTTCCTCATCTGTGGTGGGATGATCTATCCCGTTCTATTCCGTCTGATGTCCACCCGCAACACTTCCGCCACCACACCGAAAGCGGCTGGCATTTGCAGGAACTTGCACTGAGACTAAGCACAGCAGTGACGGAGCTGAAGAAGGGTCACCGGCTACGACCTAAAGAAACAGTAAACCTCAAGCGTGAGCTCTTCTGTGATGAGCTTTCACCCGCAGCCTTCAGAAAGAGAAAGTGGAATTCGTGGAGGAACGATGACGAGGATTTCATGAAGCAAGCGCTGTCGGCGTTTTGTAAAGAGAATAAAACTACATTCCCGTAGGTCCCAACTGCGGGGCAGCTGGGCACATTTAAGGGCCCTGGAGCTGCGGCGTAGCTATAGTTTCCGTTATGCCAAAGGCACGGAGAAATTTGCGCCACAGGCCTATCCCCCGTGCTCGGGGTCAACCGCCCCGTATTTATCATAAGTTTGTCTCACTAATTTCCTGAAGTGAACCAGGAGATGCCAATGGACGTATGCAGACCAGTACATTACAGATCCACCCAAAGCGGTCTCAGCTGTTGACTTTGGAGGGGAGGAGGGAAGAGCACGAAGTGGAGTGAGACACGACGAATTTGTGCAGCTTGAGCGTTGAGTCATTGCTGTGCACTGGAAGTTGGAATGAAGACAGGAGAAAAAGGGTGGCGGTGGGAGTGATGACACTGAGTCCAGTGCATAACATGATTTATTACAGGGCTTCGATTGGTGTCTCCGTTACTCGCGAGGCTTATCCTTGTCTCCGCGCGCCTTCTAAGCCCCTCACCCGCTGACGGTGCCGTTCATCCCCTCAAATGTTCTACGGCAGAGGTTTTCTTGTGTACTTTCCAATCCTTGTTGAGGAATGAAGCAAATGGCCCGAATCGCAGCTTCTGCATGGCTCGTGTTCACATGGTGGCCACAAATTGCAGCCCTGTGGCTCCCAAGACCTTGGCAGAGGTCGCAGCAGCAAATTTTGAAGGAATCGCAGTAATTATAGGGTGCACATGAAGTGGTTGATTGTTGCAGAGAGCCACGCCCTAGGAAGACGAATGGGATTTTTAGGTGTGCGCGACATTGGACTAGGCTCCGTTGAGTGTTCGTGCAAGTATCCCACAATGCTGTTTTGGACCTGCACGGCCAACCAAGCATACCCCGGCTTTTTGCCGTGGCATGGCGTGCTTAGCCGATCAATGTCTTGACACAAAGCATATATTATTGCCATTTAATAAACTGGCAAATCGCACAAACGCAATGGACAAGCAGACCGTCGCTGTAGCAGATATGTAGTGACCATTAATGCAGGATGCACAAGGGGGCCACATATGCAAGAAACTTTTCTAGTACAATGAGTGAAAGCTCTGCACATCCACTGGCAGCCACATGTTATAGGAGCCAGGTGGCGGCCCTTCGCGGGCATGTCCCTTAGTATATATCGTACTTTTCCATTATCCGTCTGCAAGCCTACTCTCAGTTTTGCCTGCATCAGTCGCCTTGACTGATGCAGCCAGGCGGTTACGGGGTGCTGGATGCGTTTTATCTAGTGCAGGGTAGCAGCCCCGCAGCATAAGAACTTTTCGTTTGACCTCATTAAACGCATTGAAAGGGGAGGCACGGGAGGATGCAGATTGCCGCGGCCCGGGACAGATAAATCGTTGACAAGCTGATACCACTGCCGCGCTGCAGCTGAGGGCGCTGTCTCAGTCTGTTATGGGATGCCCCTGTGCACCTAATTCACGTAGCTTTTACGGTATGCTAATTGGCAAGGGGAAGGCAGTGAAGGGATACCCTGGCGCCGGCGTCGATCACGTGGCGAGGACAGAGAAACAGAGATGGGGAAATCAACAAATATTTTACCGTTCTTGGTGTGTGGAGCTTCAATTTTGGAAAGTTGCCACTCCTGTGCAAGAGAGAGCTTTCCGAAGGTGCTGTGTACAAGGTGCTGTACCAACACGCAAGTAACAGGTGACGCGATGAGCAACTGTAACTAGCCAGCATGAATTATGATTTGAAAGCGTTCACTCGTGACCCGACGGATGGCGGCAACAGCGCACCAGTTCAGGCATGCATGTGAGCCAGCTGTTCGTCCTGAACCCAGTCAAACTACTGTCAGGGGACCAATTATGTCAGTGACGCAAAACTGATCTGTCTTATGACCTTCTAAACCCAGCTTCTGTGGCCTACTGACGGGTGAGCAACTGGACACTTTGAGACTACCACGTCGCCAATACGTCGGTGACCGTTAGGCTGTGGTATCCTTCCCGACACATGAGAGTTTTCCCAAAACAAGATGTCACATTAGGATGCTTTTTCTGGCATTTTGTTTTCAAGTGGAAATCAAAATCAAGCAAGCTCTCCCCTGTGCGGCCAATCCGAATTTTTCAAGCTACCCGAAGGACCCCCGATGTGGGGAAGCAGTGCGACCTTTCTGGGGATGATGTAGGCTATTCACGGAACTAGTCTTACAGAAGCCTTTAGAGGCCTTGAGAGGCCTCTAGAGTCCGCCGGAGCACTAGCGAGCACGCTAAAAGTTACGAGGGCTTCTCGCGCTGAGCTGACTCTACACGATGACCTATCAGCCACACTGGAACTGTCGTCAGCCCTCAATATTCGAAAAAAAACAAATTAAGCCTTTCTATGGGGATAAAGGTCTCAATGAAGGCTTTCTCTGGCCTTCTTTCACTATCAGGGCCCTCCAAGATCCAGACAGCCACAAGTGACCCCCCAGGGTTTCAGCAACGGGTGAGCTAGCGGCCCCGCTACAAAACCAACTGAGTGGAATTACAAATGTGATTTCCATGCTTTCAAAAAGTAGGCTTATACACTAGCCTTGTTGCGTGTACCCCCCCGGTAGCACTGGGAAATTCCACAAACTGAACTGCTAAATGTATGTCCACTAGCCTGCGTGCATGCCTTCACAAAAATTAATGTGAGCGTATAATGGGCTAGCACTTCGTTGGTAAAATGCGAAATGCAGGCGTAAAATAGAGCTTAATGTGTGGAAGCCGCTTGCAGTCTGGCTCCCATGCATGCTTGTGCGCATGCACACAGTCGCGGTCGACCGTCTTAACACACCGTGGAAGGTCTGGAAGGATGCATGTATGTGCAGGTTGATGACGCCTGCGTACATACATGTGATTCCGTTTAGGCTGTCGTGCACGCAGGGAGGCAGCCCTGCACAGGTGGCAAACTAAGACCTGATTATGGCTCAAAAACGATTTTTCGAGGAAATACAAGTTTCCTGAGGCCTTTCAGTACCAAATTGTTTCACCAGCCTTTGGCGTAAAAGAAGAATCGCAATCTGGGCGGCGCTTCATCCGCTTAAGCAATACTAATTGCAGTTGCTGCCAATGGAACTGCAAGTGGAGCAACTGCCGTTCTGTGGTTTACTCTGTATCCTCTGTATCCATATGAGGCTCAGCATTTACCAGAAGCTTCTATTGCATTCTTTACCGTATTAGTCGTCTTCTTAGTCATTTAGGGCAGCTGTTGGTTAGTTTGGGGTGCACATAGAGTGCGGCCTCAGGCCATGGAGCCCGCTTACCTCAGTGCCGATGTTCGCGCGGCTCACTTTGTAGAGTTCTGTACGAAGGGCCTTTCAGCTTTCTACTTACCAGATTATGTCGACTTGAGCATACGCAAGTCCTCCACAGGACAGGAGCATCTCATTCCAAGGGCCGTAGCAAAGGGGCCTTCACATGCTCATCAAACGGGCGCTCATGCAGAGGCTAATACAAAGGACCAAACAGGAAGTACTAGCAGAGCCTTTACAGGGGCATCTTTCGGGCCTCCTTTTAGTCTGTTGTTTGATGAAGGCCAAAGCATTACAGCCTCAGTGAGCCGCGGGTCTTTGACTCGCCTGGCTGCGGCTATTCGCTCTGGTCAGCTGGGAGGTTTCTGTGGGGTGATAGACCTTGCAGGAAATGCCATATCTGATGGGGACTTGTTGGAGCTGTTCCAGGCAGTAAAATGTAGCGAATGCATTACCGGTGAGCGGCAGCTGTGCAACTGCATGCAACGGAACTAAGACACCGTGAACGCAAGGCGGCACAGTATAACGCCCTTGTACATCTGACCACCCGTGTGATGTGCACTCACATCTCACGAGTGGATGAGCAAAAGAGAGATTTCCACTGGAGCAACTTCAAGACACAACGATCAAATTAGAAGTGACCCCTTCTAATTTGATCGTTATTTCCCCGATGCAGGTTTGGGGCTTAGGGACACTCTGATAGGAGACGCCTCAGCCCCTTATTTGGCTGCCATTCTCACAGCCCGACCATCCTTCACGTTCCTCGATGTAGCAGGAACCAGGCTCTCGGAAACTGGGGTAATCCAGATCTGCCAGGTAAATGTGCAGTTATGTGTCTTGTAAACTAGCCACAGAGCTAGTTATTAGTTTCCTGGCGTGTAGTATCGCCAGAAAAAGTTTTAGATATATCATTTGCTAGACGAGAACCCATCTGGCTAGTTGAGGGCTCCTGGACCGTTGTAGCGGATAGCCTGCTGCTTGCTTTTGGTTAATTAATCTTCTTTGTGATTCGCCATCCGGTGCGCAGCACCTGCACTCGCACGGGGTGTAAATCTAGGAACCATAATGGCACAGGAATGCGCTTGAGGTGTATGAAAGCATATAGGTTTATATGTATAGGTGGATGCAGCTATTCTGGTGTTCAGAATGATTCATAGTTCGCATGGAAGCGCAGGATCATTGTTATTTTAGAAGAACATGCATATTTTATTGTTCATTAAATAAACACGTAGTCTCCCCTTGATTATATTCTCGTCTATGGTGCGCAAGCCTTCAGTACTAAAAGATGCAGGTGTATTATCTGTTGGCATGCATGCACACGTGGCATCTTCGCTTTAGGCAACGAGCGAGCACTGCGTAGTACGCCAGCTCGCCCTCCCCAGGCTGCGGCAAAGAGGTCTCTCTGCTGCAATAACCGTCGCGAGACAGTGTGCGGCTCTGGAAATTTTGGAATTAAGCATATACAATAGGGCGGAGCCCTTGGGGCCCCCAGGCGCCCCAGGGGCCCCTCGAGCCCTAGTAGAGTCGAAGGAATCTCCCTCAAGTGGTGCTTTGACTAACAAGAAAAAGCGGAAACACAAACAGCGCATGCATATACCAACTGAAGAAGAAGATGATGCATGCAGCCTAAATGGCAGCGAGCTGCACTGTTTCAAAGGATCTGATCTCACCGAGGCTCTTACGTACAACCCGGAAAGGTCCTTGGGACCTGACTCCAGACCTGTGGAGAACCTGATCCAAGAAAGATACGTCCAGGTAATCCACATACAGCACA